AAATTCGTATGAACATGTATGTGACGAAACACATGGCTACACGAAGCCGATCGCGGTTGCCTGAAGTGAAACAACGCTACCTACAAGTAGTCTGTGAAATGAATGAAAGCTGCGGTCGTCTTTTGGTTTCCAACCGCAAAATACGCGTCTTAACGCCTCAGTGTTTAACACACTGGTATCATGGCAAATGGTACACTGGCTCCCCCCAAGAAACGGTGCCGTGATCTTACGTATGTGTGTGTCAATAGATAGAATAGAAGCGACAAAACGGTTTCCACATCTATAAGAAATCTCTGCTAAAAGCAAAGTCGATTGACTATATTGTAGCTGTATGATGTTGTTTGTAAATAAATCGGGTCTGGACAAGACAATCCAGTGATTGTCACCATGCGATATGACGACAGAGCATGTGTTAATGAATCAATATGAAATTGTAATGATACCAGGTGTTCGCGAAAAGGTGAGCGTATCCTGCCCCACCGGTGACACACGTCATAAACATATGCTATGTCTAGTCAATTGTTTACCTGAAATAATTCGGGAACGTATGGTATAAGTCAGAATAGGGAATTGTATCATTTATGTCACCGACACATCAAATGAAATTTCCTCCACATGTCTACCATAAAACGTCTTGAAATGCTTTACTGAGGCCTGAGTTCGATGAAGGAAAATTTCTGCCCGTCTTTAATTAGGTATGAAGGAGTAAGGATGTACTCCAAAACTTGGTCTTCCTCATAATAAAGTTGACATCCATAAAACTCTCTTCCTCATGTGTATCACTTCTAAATGCCATGCAAAGTCCTAATTAAAGATCTGGAAGAACAGAAGCTTTCGTTCATCGAACACACGCTGTGCTGATCACAGCTGGTGATTTTCGTATCTCTTTTGGAACGATGCAATTTTGCCATTTAACGAACTTGCGCTTGTTTGAAGATAGGTTCCGTCAGATTTGTGACTCTCTTCCTCAGATCTTTAATTACGGATAAAACGTATTAACCAGGTGCTGTAGCTAACCAATATACATTGACATGATCGTTTTACTCTCCATTGTTTTGGTGTTTACCAAATATGTATCTCATCTTAATGTTTCCTTGGTAATTTCGACTAACTATGTATAACTCGTTATACGCGACAAAACAGATGTGTTCAAGGATCTGATTCACGCTTGTTGATGGGATTCACATGAAGTGTCGTCGTAATGTTTATTTTATCTATATGCGTATCCATGCCACACGCACTTAGAACATATACACCTTGAATATTGATAATATTACTGGTGTTAATAGTACTGAGCACTCAGCAATCAATTGCTGAATCAGCAACATTGCAGCAATTTACCTACTTACGCAGAAGAAACTGAATAACCGAAGAGTAAAACAACACTGTGGGTATGTACCATAATAAATTATGGGTAATAATTAGACAATAACCAACTTGTGAGGGGGGTGATAGTCTGTCGTACAGACCCTGAAGCAAATATATCCAAGAAAGCCCACGCAAGTCTAGAAAATGTGGCAAGTCTAGATTTCGAGCTTCAGAAAATGAAGGAAAGTCTTCCACTTTGTGGCAGTTCATTTCAGCATATTATATTCATTTTTTTACTATGAACTATTTTCAGCGAAAATATGTTCATTCCAGAGAGTGGGAAGTTGTGTGTCTGTGGGATGACAGATTATCTTTCCCGAGTTATATTAATGGGTTATCCCATTCGCATCGCCAAGGCTCGAAATTACAGAATGAATATAACTCGGGAAAGATAATCTGTCATTCCCCGTCACTCGTTCTTTTGGCAGATTGCGAACACAAATCGTTCCTGAATGCAGGAACTCTGTATTCAAGAGCTCTACTGCGAAGAATCTTGCTTATTTTAATTTTGGCGTCGGCTAAAAAGAACCAAAACAAACAGAACAGAGTAAACGTATACTGAATATAACCAAAAACATCAAACCCCAGCGTGATTGACAACATTTAAGCAAAGACTTAACGGCTCAACATCTGCCTGGAACCCTTTTCTCCTTCTAACATTTGCCTGAAGAACGTGACAACGGGTTGATTGGAAGTGTTAAGTTTGTCTGGGGACGTTATGGAAACGTGTCCTCTTGCATAACAATGTTTTGCTAAGTTATGCCCTTATCTGTGGAAAGATAAGCCTTGATGTCAAAGATGAGCCTTGATGTCAAAGATAAGCCTTGATTTCAAAGATAAGCCTTGATGACAAAGATGAGCCTTGATGTCAAAGATAAGCCTTGATTTCAAAGATGAGCCTTTATGTCAAAGATAAGCATTATGTCAAAGATAAGCATTGATGTCAAAGATAAGCATTGATGTCAAAGATAAGCCTTGATGTCAAATGTGAGCCTTTATGTCAAAGATAAGCTTTTATGTTAAAGAATAGCCTTGATGTCAAAGATGAGCCTTGATGAGAAAGATGAGCCTTGATGTCAAAGATAAGCATTGATGTCAAAGACGGCAGCATTTGTGAAAATAAAACAATGTAAACTCGGGATTCCACACGGAAAATATTCCGTAATCCTTTGCTTTTAATACCGGTAATGTGAACATATAAAAAGCTGTTCAAATATACTCATGCCAATAATGCCTTTGTCACCCCTTCAATTTCTTTTATTGATAAGGGTGGGGTGGAAGAGGGTGGGGTGGGGCTGACAACCATTATTGGCATGAGTATACATATCCGGAATGGTCCGGAATGGCATAAAAACATTTGAAAATTTAGAAATTCACAAATGTTTCGCCACCCAAGGAAATATTCAAATTTCCAACCCAAGGAAACTTTCGAGATTCGGAGTAATGGAAATACCCAAGCATTTACTGACTCCATCCCTAAATAGAACCCTTCTTTTTGTTTGTTTGTTTTGGGGGAGATATTTTTGGTCGACGCACTTAATAATCCTCCCATGTAACAAAGGTTTGCAAATAATCGAATCTGGGCGACACACTCCAGCGATTGACATATACACAATCAGCGAGCCTGACCACCAGATTCCGTATGTGTAGATTTACTACAAGCATGGGTTGCTGCAGACCAATTCTAACCCGAATATTCACGGGTATAGAAACCACGATAAATACATGGTAGGAAGACATTCATAAACATTCACTAATTGCCACGCACTGTTTGATCATGAACCCGTGTCCAAACATCGACAAAGTCGTCCTTGGAATTCCTTTACTGTTTTTTTTGTTTTGTTTTGTTGGTTGGTTGTTGTTGTTTATCGTGAGCTGTTATTCAGCCACGACTTAACGATTATCAAAGGGTTTGTATAAGATTAGTGTGTATATAATCTTCTGGGGGTCCTATTTGGCAAGGTGCCAATATGAGAATAAACATTGGCTTTTCACCTTGCTATTGAAACCGTGTCGCCATTGATCGGTATCAGGGACTATTCTGTGTGTATGTCAACATGATATGAATGTATTTTACCTTATCGCTTAATTCGGTCGAAGTTGGAGGCTTATAATGATTTTACGCCGCTTCCAGCAATAAGTGGGCTGATTGACATATTCTGCGCACCGAGCACACGGCACAAAACATTCGAGGAAAAAGCAATGCTCTTTGGGTAAAAAATTGGATGGGTAACTGTTTTCGTCAGTACCGTGCCAATTTCAAACATAGGTTATGTGTAGTGTCTTCATCTTCTTCTTTTTCTTCTTCTTGTGGCGGCGGGGTAGCCCAGTGGTTAAAGCGTTGGCTCGCCACGCCGAAGACCCAAGTTCGAATCCATACATGGGTACAACGTGTGAAGCCCATTTATGGTGTAAAACCAAACTCAGTCAGTCAGTCTTCTTCTTCGTGCTCTAACCCGACCTCCTCCTCAGTATTAGGCTTCCCCACTGTCTCATAAATGGGCGATTCCGAAGCCTCGTAATTGGGAAACCCCTCTACGTGTTGGCCGCCATTACTGGAATAGTTATTTCTAAGTGCTGCGTAAAACAACAACCAAAAGTAACACATCTTGTTGATGGTTACAGTGAGGTGAGGTGAGGTGAGGTGAGGTGAGGTGAAATTGGGTTTTACGTCGTACTTGAGAATATTTCGCTCATATGACGACGTGCATGCGTGTGTATGTGTATGTGCGGCTGCTTGTACTAGCCCAGACTGAAGCTGGTTTTATAGTGCTAGCTCACTGAGATACCATGCCACAGTGAAGCATGAATACCCCACTCAGACACATTATACTGACTCCGAGCTGACCAGTCCTTGTTGTACCCATTAATGCCGAGCGCCAGACAGAGACCAACAAGTACCATATTTTAACGTATTTTGGTATGACGCGACCGGGGATCGAACCCGCGAGCTTACGCTCTCCGGGTGGACGCTCTACCCACTACACCACGGAGGCGGTCGTTGATGGTTACAGTAGGTGCGCGCGTGGATAACGTCTGTGATTGGTTTGTGTGGTGGGTTTGTTGTTTAACGCCACACTCAGCATTATTCCAGCTATATGGCGGCAGTCTGTAAATAATCGCGTCGGGGCCAGACAATCATGTCATCAACAGCATGAGCATCGAACTACACAATTGAGATACGATGACATCACATTGTGTCAACCAAGTCAGCGAGCCCGACCACCCGATCCCGTTAGTTGCCTCCTACGACAAGCATAGATTCCTGAAGACCAATTAAAACCCGGATCTTCACGGATGCATAGGAACGTGCATGGCCTGCGGTATTTACCACACTGTTTTAATAAATGTTTCAATAAATTTTAACCAGTCGAGCTAACGTATATACACTAGAAAATTGACCATAACCGACGTAAACGTTATCCAAAGGTTAAAAGGCTTAAAGCAGTCGTCGACACACTGCAAACTTTTAACGTCCTTGACACAAACAGCCAAGTCACTCATTACAACAAAGCGACCACAGTAAGAAGCCTCTTGTGACAAGATTTGGGTATTGGACATGTGTATTGGACAGTAAACAGATTTGTGTATTGGACAGTAAACAAACAAACACAAATTTAAACCAGAGCGTTTATTACATTGTATCTCAACCAAGAGAAAGGTATATGACAATTAAGAAACTTTTGTTATTATCCAGCAACAAAGTTCACCTGCGCTGTGTGAGAACTTTGAAAAAATACACTCCTTTCAGGTCAATTTTGAGATAAAACAACTGAACGCTGAAACATATCAGCTGTCACACTATTACACACATTTCAGCATGAACAAAATGGTTCAACTTTAGATAAAACGAGTTAACAATACAAATTATACCCTTTCAGTATATCTTTTCCGATAGGCTTTTAGCGACATGGCAACTTCACAAAATGTCTCTAATTAAAGAAAGATGTCCGCAGCCATCTCAGTGTGGTACAAGAGAAAGATCCTTAAGTTATTTACAAAATTAAATGTATACTTTAGCAAAATAAATTACTATCACGGAGACACTCCTTCGTATAAATAATACGAGTTTAAAAATACCTACAAATTATACCCTTTCAGTATATCTTTTCCGATAGGCTTTTAGCGACATGGCAACAACACAAAATGTCTCTAATTATAAACAAGATGTGCGGAGCCATCTGACTGTTGTACAAGAGAAAGATCATTAAGTTATTTACAAAATTGAACGTGTACTTAACCAAAATATATTACTATCGCGAAGACATCCCTTTCCAGTTAATGACGCTAAATATTCTAAACGTACTGTGCATACATTCCGAGCACGCTCTCTTGTTGAGCGAGGCGGGCAGCAAAGGCGTAGAACCGTTGACGTCGCCGGAAGTAGCTTCCCTCCAGCGCCAACCACACCAGCAGCACCCCCACGGTCAAGGTCGCACAGAACAGCAGGAAAGACAAACAAATTGAAAATGTTATGTAGGAGTCCATCCTGGCTTGACCGGTGCTCCAAGGGTCAAGGTCGATGCGGTGGAACTCTCGCTCTGTGCTGACGGTGAGGATGCCCGTTGCCGACGTCGTAAGGGCGAGAAACAGGGACAGGGAACCTAGGAACGCCCTCTTGCGGCGAGTCATTGGCCGGAGTTGGGAATATTGCTGATACACTGCTTCTATCCGCTAAAATAATATTTTGAAAGTCAAGTGGTTGATGTCTCGATATTTAAATCAATTTTTAAATTATACCAAGAGTATTGCGATGTGCTTTCGTACACTGACTTTAGACGGAGAATACAAGCTTGTGTAATGGATTTACTGAAAAAGGATATTTTCTTAAAGTTTCAAAATTAGGCCTTTTTTCATAAATTAATATATTGTTATTTAGCTTACCATGATAACAATTTGCAAGTATTGAAAGAAAACAGGACATCTGTAATTCAGTAAGTCTGAAACATGTAATTGTAACATTTCAAAGTTTTCCGAAACTTTGGCACTTCCAGTTTAGCCAACAAAGACCTTTTTCAGCATTATCGACGAAACAATGACTTTATTAGCGTAGAATGAAAATACCATCCTACCCTCTGTTGTCGTTCCATGGACGCCGTCCTTGGCGGAGGTGATACAGAAGGGAAGACAACTCCGCACAGCTCGCACGTGTTGTCGCGCTTGTAGGTGACCCACTGAATGAGGCAAGACCTGTGCACTGATTCCAGTCCTCCTCGGCACTCACATGATGTAGCCGTCATAGCTTCTCCTGCATCGCGTGGAAGATACACAACAAGTTAAGTGAGTTTAGTTTTACGCCGCACTCAGCAATATTCCAGCGATGTGGCGGCCAACAAGTTAAGCATCACCAGACTCTTTCATATAACTACAGGGGCGGTGGGGTAGCCTAGTGGTTAAAGCGTTCGCTCGTCACGCCGAAGACCCGGGTTCGATTGACCCATATGAATCATTGTGTGAAGCTCATTTTCTGGGACCGCCCTGGTGGTGTAGTGGTTAGTGCGTTCGCCAAGAGAGCAGGAGGTCATGGGTTCAATCCCCGGCCGCATCATACCAAAAGACGTTAAAATATGGTACTTGTTGTTCCCTGCCTGGCGCTTGGCATTAATGGGTACAACAAGGGCTGGTCGGCTCGGAGTCAACATAATGTGTCTGAGTGGGGTATTCATGTTTAACTGTAGCATGGTATCTCAGTGAGCTAGCACTATAAAAACAGCTTAAGTCTGGGCTAGTAGCAGCCACACACACACACGCATGCACGTCGTCACATGAGCGAAATATTTGTACGACGTTAAACCCCATTTCACCTCACCACCCGATTTCTGGTGTCCCCCCGCCTTGATATTGCTGGAATATTGCTAAAACTAAACTCAATCACTCATATAACTACGAAGTCAAGGTATATATAGTACGTCAGCTTGTGGTATCGGGTTTGTACCAGTGGACAATAAGATGAGTGCGCCACTATATTAAAGGACAGTGTTTCAAGAAAGATTGTATGATGACAGAAAACGCCGACTTTGTAAATAATTAAATAAAATGTAGATTTAATATATAATGAGACACAGACACAAAGACCACGTTGTCAATGTTAGATTATGAACAATTGTAACTCGTTCCCTGTGAAATATTCAAAGAATCCTTTAATAAATATTTACCTGTTTCCTTTTGGGAGAGTTGGCATATTCTACAGACAATGGATTCGTTGGAACTTGCGGAGCTGACATCGACGCTGTCTGGCCTCACCACCCGTAACAACGGCCCATTGGAGGTGGTGTCGCTCTGTAAACAGTGAGTGCGTGAGTGAGTCAACAGAATGTTAGATGCATCAGCGATTGTGCAAATTAGGGGATCTTGGTAACACATCGATGGAAATGATAATAACATTACTGGGAGAGGTGTATTTTCTCAGGAAATGGCATTGCGTGTATTCATAACTTTCGGCAGTGAGAGCCGTGACAATCAACACTCAGAGGGATACACAAAGTAAATGATCTAGACTACCAGTTGTTAGACTTCCATTATTTGTGGAAGTCGCGGTGGCTGAGTGGATTGTGTCGTTGATTTTGTGTGCTGGCGATGAGGTGCATGAATCTGATAGTGTTGGTTCGAATCCCGCACACAATGTGTGAAGCCCATTTCTGGTGTCCCCCGCCGTGATGTTGCTGGAATATTGCTAAAACCAAACTCAGTCAGTCGAATCCCGGATGGGACTGAACCCCAAACACGTACTGCAGAAAGTGTAAAGCACTTTCTAAATGGCCTTGCGCGTATTCGAATCTGAAAGTAACATAATGGTATACTTTATTTACAACTGCGGTTTGTTTTGAAAGGGATGCCATTCAAGTATTGTCCTACATAGTCGTACACAGTTGGAAACAACGTGAGTTTTGTTTCGTTTTGATAGCCTTTCCTACCTTTAAAGCATTGAGGATGAATACTTGAAAGTGAAAACGACGGCATTAGACGGCCCAACCATGTTATATATCCTGAAAATTCTTCCGAATTTCGATAGTGTGTGATCAAGATTTTTTTTTCAAATGTTGAGCTCAAAAAGGGAGTACGAGAGCGATGTTGATCGATACATGTTTAAACGATTACTGGGTTGTTTGGTAGCCTTGTGATTAAAGCTTCGGCGCTCTTCACACCGAAACCTCTGGTTCGATTCCCTACATTGCTACGTTGTGTGGAGCCCATTTCTGGTGTCCCCCGCTGTGATATTGAAGGAATATTGCTAAAGGCGGCGTAAAAAACCGACTCAATCACTTAAAAGATTAGATACGCCCTGAAATGTCAAACTACACTCGGACCATCTGTTCCTACCAGCTGCGCCGGGTCGGCAGGAAGTTCCGAGCTTGATGTGTCATCTTGTGTATCAGCACTCTCATGTTGTGTATCAAATGATGTCTCCTGCTCGACTTCACTGTGACAACTCGCGACCTTTGTGGGTTCGTCAGTCGCTGAAGATGTATCACCTAGTGCCACCAACTCCATCTCCAGGGGCGGCCCATTTCTCCCATCTTCAGCGGAGGTTTCGATGGCGTCTTGAACATCTGTACCTTCAGTTGCCATTGTGACGCAAAATCAATATGACTGCCATTGTCAAGATATTACACGCGGCCTGTGAGCTCTTTCAAACTGGGCCCTAGAAGTAGAGCCACTACTTTCGCGAGACACATTCCTTTATGACGTCATACGTTTGTGACGTCACCATCCCCCATACGCAAACTTCACTCTCCTACCCAGAGTTCCATTCGGCCATTGTTGAGTCTTCATGGACTACTCGGCTACATTTTCACAACGAATGTCAGTCAAGTAGTTCGCGTTGTTTTTTTATATATAGGTTTCCTTTTTCTCATTCTCCTTGTTGAGGTATATTGCCGTATATATCGCTATTGGTGTTTGGTGTCACATGGAATTGAGAGAAACCCTCGACTTAATAAACAACGAGGAATTACATGCCATTTGATTAGCTAATATAGCGGTCTTTTGGCGTTTAATGTTTCCATAATAAAATAAGACCAATGCAAACAACGGGCGATTTTATAGTGAACTGGGTTTGAGGCAGTATTCCAATGTCCCAGATTTAGCATTGCTGTCTAGTTGCGTTTGTGCGCGCGCGTGTATGCGCTTAAATAAACAGTTTGTTCGTTGATATTGATGTTTATTTTACCTTTTTTCATGTGTAAGAATTGTCTTCATCAAATCTTTGGAAACCTTGGTCCGAACAGTTTTGAAACATGCTGAATGACACCATAGATTGGGTATGACTTAGATTTACAAATACATGAGTTTTTCTGACCCGTATGATCGATTGGAACCCATGTTGATTTAATGATGATAATTGCTCATTTAAAAAACAACACTGATTTTCATACAAAACCATGTCAGTACAAGTATGTTTTATGTTGATTTTATTGGTGAATGTGAACATTCAAAATGTCATTTCGTGTGTCTCACACGATTCAAGGTCAATACCGAGTGTAACCTCCATGTGACTGTATGACAGTCAGCACTCTCCTCCTCATACCCCCTGACAGCCTCCTGATCCTCTGAAGGCGCAGTCTATGCCATTCCTCCAGTAAAGCAGCTTCCTGGGCGCAATGTGTAAAGTCCATTTCTGGTGTCCCCCGCCATGATATTGCTGGAATATTGCTAAAAGCAGCACAAAACCATACTCACTCACTCTGTACTATAGGGTCCCTTTGTTGCACATGACCAATCATGTCCCAGATATTTAATAGGGTTGGGTATCGCCAAACTTTTCGTATTGCGATATATTGCGATATGTGTTGGCGCATTGCAATATATTGTGAAAGTGTGACACATGGTTTAGCTCTTTCAACACCAGTCAACCAAAGGCTTTTACTGCCATGACCCCCAGCTCCCAGAGACTCTTAGGTCACAGATGACCTTATCAAGGAAAATATCAGCTTGTAAAACATTATTACTGCTACATGTATCGCACCATTTGAAAGGTTTAAGCCTAACATATTTATAAATAATGCAGATATACTCCAAAGGGTTAAGATACAGGGCTCATTCAGTGAGATATGTCAGGGGGTGCTTAAGTTAGTTCTTTGTGACTCTTATCAACATCCAGGAAGTGATTCCAGGGATCTGCTATACATACAGTACTCTATACTTGCCAGTTAGTCCAAATACAACAGGGTTCCCTATCACATTACTTACAGTATGTCAACATGTATTCACCACAGCAGGCATGCAGGGAATATACTAAAGTGTTGTGCTCTGTGACCTACAATTTTCACCATATTGATAGTGTACAGCATACGTGTATGGTAAGAGACTCCCGCTGAAATTTATGTACGTGTTGAAAACCTATCATTGCAAAAATAAAGGGGTGCTTAATTAATTTCTTTGTGTATATAATACATCAAAAAGCATACACTGACTGCCCCACACTGGGATGTACTAGCTGATAATGCTGTGCACTGTCCCTTGGGACAAAAAAATGTACAATTTCTCAACTGCAGCCTCTTCACAAACAGACTTGTTACTGAGATAAATAGAGCATAATTAAGAAACACTATCAAAATGTCATATCTGAGAAGATGAGAAGTGAGATACTGAAAACAGTACTTACACATGAGGAAACCTAACATTGATTGTACTGTTAAGAACGACACAAGACTCTTCAAGCCATAAGATTTATTGTAAATTTTAGCATAGCAAATTACCATATGAAGTCCAATAATCTTAAACATCTATTTAAGCAAGTATCAACACTTAATTATAGGGTCCGGATTATATAATCTGGAAGAGAAGGTATTTATGTTTCAAAATAGTAGTCCTCTTGAAAAAATCCACAACGATCAGATGTTACAATATTCATTCACACACATTGACCTGACAGTTTATAACATATCACTTGCTCCAACGACTTGTTTGAACAAACTGGAATATGAAGAAAATCATTTTCAATAACTATCAAAATTATGCAAATAATATAATGCTGTTAATACAAATAGGATGAAATGGAATATATTTGGCCAGGTGTAAATGGTTTTAAACTATAGTTTAATGAAACAAAACACCAACCCCAAAACTGGCCTGCAGCTTAGAAATTCAAATATTTGAAAAAAGAACCAAGCACAAAGTACATATCCAAAAGAAATATCCAAAGCAATTTTATATGTGCCTGTATATGTTTAACTATAATGTCACTATTATTTACCCTGAAACCTGACTTTTTTCATGAACAGGTCATTTCTGTTTCAGTGATCCGTTCACATAATTTTCAACAATATTTAGGATTTACATAGTATAATCTGTTTCATCACATAAATAAGACTAGTTATTCTTTGGCATTGATGTTATATTTTTTTTGTCAGATCAGATCATTTAATAGTAATTAGAAACTTGCTTTGAAGTGTGTTCTAGTGAGAGAGTTGGATGGACCACTCTTTCATCCATGTCAGATTGGGTTTGATCAATATGGAAAGAATGCCACAAGTTACGCAGGTTTAAAAAGTTTACCGTGTGTAGTACCAACCAGTTTCATTATAATGCTTACAAACCAAGAATCATAATCAGGCAAATCTGGGATTCAAACCCACAGCAACAAAAGACTGAAATGACAACGGAACACAATTCTCTACCAGACTCCTCATAACCAAGAGAATACTGGACCAGGGCCCTTATTCTCGAAACATTCGTAGCCCTAAGAATACTTAACTTTGATCGTAGCCAATTTGTTAAGAATGGGCTTAAGAAGTTTGTGGGGCTACGAACGTTTTGAGAATAGCTAGCCAGTTCATTCATTCTTACATCAACAAAATTAAACATAGGAAGAATATATTTTTATCTTACAATGTTACTATTTGCAGAAGACTGTGGATGTTCCTTGAATAGTTCACTTCATGATATAATCTAACATATCTACTATTTTTCATTTCAACTTGCAGCCATGAACTTCGCCCATGAAAATGTACCCTGGAATGTAAAGCACAACGTTTTCTCATGTATCATGATTATCATGCTTATGGACAACCATTGTCGAATAATTATGTCAAGATTTCACTTATACATTCACAAGCACAACAATAATAAATCATACAGTTTGACTGTACCAAGTTATCTCATGGTCAAATGATGGACATCACCGACAGAAATGCACATAAAATTAGCAGATGAATATATTGTAAAAAGATAAGAGTGAATGAAATAATCATGGAATAATCAGGGTATCATTTGAAAACACATGAACACATCAAAAGGCTGCGTGTGACGAAAGAGTAAAGGGCAGTCTCTGTCATATACTTTAGCATCCACTTGCCTAACTTGTAGTTTGGCATTATTTTCAATAAATGTTGTCCTGTATATAGGCTAGAATATGCTCATCTTTCTAAAATTGACAAACATTTGCTAGACCCTGCCTTCAACTCAATCATCTGTAAAGACCCTGACTATTTCGAATATTTTCGAAAATATTATAACAAGAAGCAATAAATCATTATATGGTAATAAAGTTAATGTTCTCATCTGATAAACATGGAAATAGGCATGAATCAAATTTCACATGTCTCTTCAAGACAAGAAAATCAAAAGAAAACATACAATCATGAATTGTTCTTAATAATAATGCATGATTAGATCAGCATTTGCCAATGGATTTCAAAGAGATAAAGCTCAGCAAGAATCAAATCCTAGTTGCTCAAAGAAATTAATGAAACAGCACATCAGTAGTATGGTCCTTAGATGAAATTTCACATTTATGCTCAAATAGTAATACATCACAAAAGTGTGTACAATGCTGAAACACAAAAAATCAACCTTATGATAATGTCATAAGCAAATAAGGTGACCCCATATCATTGTTTCAATGTGCTACTCTCTTCCTTGATTTAACTTTTGGCAAATATGTACTGGTGATCTGATTCATGATAATGAACAAAATACATGAAATGCAACCAAGGCAAGCATACCATGTTGTCCCAGTCACATTCTTACAGAACCAGTTAGAAAACATAGCAAGCATGAAGCTCACACAGACAAGAATGAAGGACACCAATCCTGATGTAGCATGGACAATTTTCAGATCTGCCAGTTTCAATTTTATTCTTAGGATGCTAGCAAGGGTAGGATATTTCAACACAGAGCCACCCAGCATCTGCATGCAAGAATACCCAACGGCTGACATTCCAATAAGACCATGCCATGACGTGAAATGTTCTTTGTTATTTATTTCTTTATTGTAGTAGATAGCTGCGAATCCTCCAATAGCACAGGTAAGGGAGGTAACCTGTAACATCCAGTGAAGTGTGACCTTTGTGGCTCTTGACTGTCTCGGAACAAGGGAACTGATTGGAGAAAATACCAATAAGCCCTCAAACATCAGCAGCAGAAACTGAAAGGAAGTGAATGAAGCATCAGTCAGTGTGTATTCTTCATAATAAGCATCAAGTTTCCCTGTCCTGATTTTAGAGATCATTTTCTACAGAAAGCTATCAAGCTTCAAATAAATAAAATTTCTTTTAAATCAAAATCTTGAAAGTTCCCTTGTGAAGTTACAAGTTTCAATGTAAATGCTGTATACATGGTATATAGACAACTAAATAGAGAAGATGGCACAGATATCAAAGCAAACCGTTTTATGTGTATGAAGACAGGAATTATGTTAATTCAAATGTGTTTCCTTTACAATCATTTTTAAAACAGTTTATTACTGAGTAGATTTATACAAGTATTCTTACTGCAATGGCCATCAGTGTTGGGTGCCATGAAAACAAGCCTGAAACATAACATATATTTTTAATACAAGATCCTTGTTGTAGTGTTACAATCAGGTTTTAGAGCACAACTAAGGGCTCTGGTTCAATGGGTGTTCTTCATCTGAGTCATGGGCAGTAAAATTATATTTCTTCAGTGACTTCAGCTGAGTTAAAAGTGCTCTTTGTGTGACATATTAACTGTATATACCCTGAAGTATTTTGATGTTTATATATATATATACCCCAGGGATTGGGAAAGGCAGGGACCATGGGCCATTTTGCACATTAGAATAAAAAATGGCCCATTAAAATTTTTAAATTTACTATTGATACAAGGGCAGTGCCCCATTCTAAATTCAGAAAATGGCTAATAATCCTGAAAATGGCCCATTGTCAAAGTTCTCTATTCCAATCCTTGATACCCTGAAGTATTTTGATGTGTTTTAAGACAGAGGATAAGTAACAGGAGTTATCAGGACACATACTAGCTGTTGAGAGAACAAATGTGCCCTTTGCTAACAAGAATTATACTGGGGCAAATTCTATTCCTTGAGACACCCATAAAGTAAGAATACATCTTCATTATAACACCCTGAAATAGGGATAGGGATTGAAACAAAACAATTCCAATATCCATGTTTTTCTTGACTTTAAAGGGACAATCTAAAGTACATCTTTACATTAATTACCATTTGCTGTGAAGTCGGTTGACATTGCTCTTCATGTTACTTATCAATATTCAGAAAGAAAATATCTCACTAAACTGACATGACTCTACTGACAAATTCATACAACATATACGTCTCTTCATTTGGCAACAATGAAAACTGTGTGTATTTCATGTTTTACCCTATAATTCTGACAAGCTAATGTGACAAACAATTCATTCTTTTGTTACTATTTGTAAAAGCATCTCAGCCAAAGGAAGATTTAGTTGATTCACGATATTTCCTCTTTTTTCTGGCTTACATGAGCTGGTCAAACCAGTGTAAAATACAGTAAGTGTTATTTTTTCAAAGGACTGTTGGGTAGATTTAAATTACTTTTCCAAAGATTTAAGCTTGGAAACAAAAGGTATTTTTTCAGAATGCCATTTAGCAACTTTTAATGCAATGACACATTATTCTGTTCACATTATCTCACTATCTTGAAATAGCTTTTGCATCAAGACCATATACATTATAAGAGAACTGACTGACTGAGTTTGTTTTTACGCGGCTTTTAGCAATATTCCAGCAACATCACGGCGGGGGACACCAGAAATGGGCTTCACACATTGTACCCATGTGGGGATTCGAACACGGGTCTTCGGCGTGACGAGCCAACACTTTAACCACTAGGCTACCCCACCGCCGCCCCCTTTATAAGAGAAAGTATCTTATGCAACACCATAGTTGAAATACTAAGTGCCTGTCTTGACTTGTTATATGGTATATTTGAAATATGGTATTAATCTTCCCCTTTCCTGACAATCACTGTTGTCTTCTAAGAAGATGGCAAACCCCTCATACAACTGTCTAACATTGTATCAAGTACCGTGGTAAGGATAAGTAATTGCACGGCTTCAAAATGGTAAATGAAACCATTCGGTATCATAAATAAAGGAAGATTGCCCAATACGTGAAAGCTAAAGACGCAAATGTTTCTCTTCATTGGATATCTCCCTGTTCGGTCTTAACGAAATTACACAGGGGCATTGTGACCTAAGCGTTTGATATGGATGGAGTTCATGAAACCGTTGGCAGTGGTATGTTGTAAATGTACAATACCGTGGAAGAACGAATATACATGTCATTTTTAAACGGGGCACCAGCCAAACAGGCCTAGTACTAGTATTTGAGAAACTGTGACAACGCTGCATGCTAACATTAATAACAATCCCCAATCCGTTTTGTTTTCACTTACTGGAGCCGGGTGCAGCGGTATAAACGATGAATCCTGTAAAGAACAGAGCTACAAAATGTGCAACCATTGTGACAAAGAAGCAGGTTTGGTAAAATTGAAATTATCTGTGACTACAGGCTTATAGTATTCTAGAACAAACGAAGTAGGCCACAACAATAACTGTCGTCTGCATTCGGCCAAAACGAGCCGATTCCGGGATGGGAATGTAAAATTATCACTTGTAAAGAGAAAATGGATTATGATTCTTAATGTTCAACAGAGTGATGATAATTGGTGAACTATACCCGAGAACCGAACGCTATAGAACACTATTTGTCCCATTTAACAGACGTACATATAATATCAGCTAAATGTGGTGTTTACAAATATGTAATATCTAAAATTGCGTTCTTCCGTTTCAATCGCGCATTTTCTACTTTACCAAGGGAGATTACTCTAAAATAAGGTGTTCGTGATCAAGATGAACGCAATCAAGTGCATATTTTTTAGTGAATTCCACCCAACTGCTGGTCCAAAAATAACATATCAGGCAAGGCATTGTCACTTTGTATCCGAGATGATAACATGCAATATAGATAATGATAATCGTGTAATATGTACCCCATTCACTTGTCACGTTCTCCCGGCGTTCGTCAGCTGTTCGAAACAGCTGATCAAAAAGATTCCAATGATAATCCAGCTATGAGACATAAACATAATCGCATCTGGGAAAGAGTTCCTTCCGTTCCCCCATATTCTTTCTTTCGCAGATTAACACAGGTTACGCTAAGTGGTTCGACCCTATATACTATAATTAATTTGGGGGATTTTAGTTATTTTAATCTTTGTGAGTTCTCTAGTAGGAGAATAGGAAACCCGCGAGAATAGGAGACGTGAGTATACTAGCAATTGTTGTTAGATTTTGTGAATAATGTTAGTATATATTGATTTATAAATATTATTTGGGATGGGGGAACGGGAGGAACTCTTACCCGAGCTGGACCAGACAATTCTTTGATTGACATTATACCACTGATTATAGTCCAGCATATAACTAGACGACTTTGCACTATACCAAGGTGTGCCTTGGCTGGAATACGAGTTTATTCATATGAACTACACTGATTATTATGTGCATACTATTAACAAAGTGACTGAATCCGCCCATCATATTCATTTTGGCAGCCCATGTTTGTCCAAGAAACGATTTAACTGTATGATCGGGTTGTCTGGCTTGCTGACTTTGTTAACACATGTCATTGTATCCAAATTGTGTAGATCGATGTTCATACTGTTGATCACTGGATTGTATGGTTCATTATTTATAGACCAGTCACCACCGCCATATCGCTGAAATATTGCTGAGTGTGGCATTAAACAAAACCAAAAAACAAGCAAATGATTTTGGCGTATCTTTCACCAATCGTATAGTAGGCTGGGGACCAGTATTCTTACCAATGTGATGTATACTTTTAAACAAGTCCATGGTTTCCATTTTTATAGGTCCTGAACCAGGACTCGTTCTAGTCTTTGTCTGACCCACCTGTGACCGCCTCCGTGGTGTAGTGGTTAGAGCGGAAGGTCGCGGGTTCGATCCCCGACCGCGTCATACCAAAAGACGTTAAAATATGGTACTTGTTGGTCCCTGCCTGGCGTTCGGCATTAATGGGTACAACAAGGACTGGTCGGCATGGAGTCAGTATAATGTGTCTGAGTGGGGTATTCATGCTTCACTGCGGCATGGTATCTCAGTGGGCTAGCACTATAAACCAGCTTCAGTCTGGGCTAGTACAAGCAGCCGCACATACACATACACACGCATGCACGTCGTCATATGAGCGAAATATTCTCAGGCACGACGTTAAACCCCATATCACCTCACCTCACCTGACCCACCTGTGAAGGTCCGGGTTAGAATTGGGTCTTCAGCAACCCGAGCTTGTCATAAGTGGCAACTAACGGGATCGGTTGGTCAGGCTCGCGTAGATCAATGCACATGCTGTTGATCACTGGATTGTCTGGTCCAGATTTTATTATTAACAGATGCTGCCATATATAGCTGAAATATTGCTGAGTTTGGCGTTAAATAACAAACCAGCCACCCAGCCTAGCCTTATGCAAAACAGCTAATAAAGATTTCATTAAGAAGATATTGTACCTGTTTCAAAATTCCATGTAGACTTTGACCCAAATACACTGTAAGTCAAAAGTTACTAGTATATATATATGGGTTGCTGAAGACCTATTCTACCCCGGATCTTCACGGGTCGAATATCCCCCAAGATGATGTCAAACTAATAAATATTTACATAAACATGATGATACAAAGATTCCTTGATTAAACTCTTAACAAATATTTCTTGCTATTTCAGGTGCCAGAAGACTTTATGAGCAAAGAGGTTTTTGATTCTGTACACATTTACATCATCACCAAACCGGAACTTCAGAACAGACTCATTACTGTGTTTGTATAGTCTTGTATTTTGACAATCATCAGCATCACGTTATCATGATCAAATAAGCGATGTTCCCCACACAATTTTTCTTTTGGAACTATATGATATGTAGGTATTCCACAAAAACAGGTTGCCAAATATGTATTGTAAATAGTATTGACTAATTGAAGACTATCTTTCTTTTTTCTGTGCCAAATATACTACCCATCAAAAGTTTAGACTCACTAGTGTAAATGTAGACACTTACTTCAGTCAACTGTTCTAAACTAGATTTTGAAAAATATTCCATGCTGTTTAAAGGTACTGTTTACACATGAACTGATGTATTGTGAAACAAATTTGTAACATTGAAAACATTATTGTCATGAGTTCAATAAATAATGTCACTCAGTGAAAATTGGTGAATTCGTAACCAAACTTTACACCAAAACGCAATGTTCACATGCATGATATTTGCACATGCTTTTCAGCAATTTGATGCATGATCCTCGTGCAATTCATCTGCATAAGGTTTGCAGTTGGTTCCCCCAAGTTAGTGGAGAAATTCATCTTCAATGTAACCATATGTGTATACATAACACATAGCGAGTGCTTTAAGTGAGTCTAAACTTCTGATGGGTAGTATATATGCACCATTGCAGGCAAGGAAATAGATTTGTGGGCAAGGAAAGTAAACTTGGTGAAAGAGTATTTGTTCAGCCACGTTCTTGGCTACTATAGGAACAAGCACATTGTATCAGAAGTTCTTTGGTGAAAAAATGGGTGGTCTTTGATTTCTTTCAAAATATGCCTGTGGTCTCTTTTGTGCCAAAAGAGTGATTTACCTATGTAAAGATGGACATCTGTTCTGTTCTTGTTGACAGAAATGCTTGGAATCTGAAGATAGTTGGCTGCCCGGTATGCATTGATGATCCCAAGTACAAGAGGAATGCATTGATGTTTAACCTGTGTTTTGTGTTCGACAAAGATACTCGGACATGCAACTATGGATCAGTTGTTAAGAAATTAGCAGCTTACTTCACCCAACTTGAGGTAATCTCTCATACTTTCTATCAAGGGGTTATGCAGGATTTATAGTAACTTTTATTTGACTGTCGACTAGCTTTTGATTTGTTCAGTATGAAATAAAAATATTTTTTTGCAGTAAGGATAATTTTGGTTAGATTATGTTATGATGTATGTGATGTCTTCCTAATAGTTTCTATGTTGGGAACCATCTGTTCTGTAACCACAAAGACATAGGATTCAGTCGCAGGTTTATTCTTATCATGGTGGAGCAATCAGTCATGATGTCAACAGCTAAGTCATAGCACAGGCTTGCTGTACTATTGACTGTAGCACTAATCTCAATGACAATACACTACACTATATAATATAGAGGTGCCTTAGATGAAATCTAGGCTTGTCTAAGTATTGTAGACTTACGTTTGATTTTTGGAAATATTTGTTTTGGGGTCTTTAGAAGACAGGCTTAGTGGGAAGACATGTTGTACACTACAACCCAGATTTTGGTTCATCTTCAGCTTGAAAGTGGCTTCCTGTTTGATGAGGAGAAGAGACAGCAGATACCGAAGATTATAACGAACATCCTGACGGACCTCAATAAATATGGAAACTGTGCTATCCCCATCAGTTAGTATACTTGCAGTACCTACTTATTGTGTTACTTATAACACGGCACTCGTGAAAATCCGGGTTAGAATTTGGTCTTGACCCGTGAAGATCTGGTTAGAATTGATCTTCAGTAACCCATGCTTGTCGTAAGAGGCATCTAACGGGATCGGGTGGTCAGGCTCACTGACTTGGTTCACACATGTCATTGTATCCCAATTGCTTAGATCGATGCTCATGCTGTTGATCACTGGATTGTCTGGTGCAGACTTGATTATTTATTATTTAAACTTAAACTCACTCACTAGATTTGGTCTTCAGCAACCCATGCTTGTCGTAAGAGGCAACTTACAGTATCAGGTGGTCAGACTAACTGTCTTGGTTCATGCATGTCAATATATCCCAGCAGGGTAGATTGATGCTCATGATGTCGATCCCTTGATGTGTGGTCCAAGCTTGATTATTTACAGGCTAAGGTCACATAGACTGAATATTGCTGAGTGTGGCATTAAACAGTAAACTGACAAGCCACAACAGACATTTTATTGTCCACATAAAATTGAAAGCAACGGAAATAAGATTCTTAATTTAATGGATTGGTTGGTTTGTTTATTAATGCTGCACTCAGCAATATTCCAGCTGACAATCCAGTGATCAACAGCATGAGTTTTGATCTACGCAACGGGGATATTATGACGTGTCAACTAGTCAGCGAGCCTGACCACTCGATCCCGTTAGTCACTTTTTACGACAGTCATGGGTTACTAATTTAATGGAAGGTGTCCTAGCCAACAAACACTTTACTGAACACACCACAACTGCACAGGCAGTGTAGAATGTCTTGTGCAATAATAATACATTGACTTGCAATGGACCACTTCTAATTTGGTAAATATTGATGAATCAAGATTACAGATTCTCATGAATGAATGGCCAAGAATAGTACAAGTTAAAAAATATATAAAATTCTGCAATTTTACAAATCAAGTGAAATCTTGGATTCCTGTGCAGTACAAATTTAATTTGTTGACACCCAAAACTTTATGATAATGACAAGACCCTCTTGACCGTGATTTCTTGTTTCCAACACTGATGATGGATTTTGTTTGTCAGGAGAGTCATGTACTATATACCTGAAGGTGGCGCCAGCTATATCTGACCCTCCACTAGTGCAGGACTATGATGTGCCAATACTGTTCAGAGACAAGGAGAGTGTGATGGCTTTGCCCTTGGATCTCACTACACAACAGGTGAGAATGTCTGTGAATGGTGATCTCACTACACACGTGAGTCTGTCTGTGAATGGTGATCTCACTACACAGGTGAAAATGTCTGTGAATGATGATCTCACTACACAACAGGTGAGTCTGTCTGTGAATGGTGATCTCACTACACACGTGAGTCTGTCTGTGAATGGTGATCTCACTACACAACAGGTGAGAATGTCTGTGAATGGTGATCTCACTACACAACAGGTGAGTCTGTCTGTGAATGGTGATCTCACTACACAGGTGAGTCTGTCTGTGAATGATGATCTCACTACACAACAGGTGAGTCTGTCTGTGAATGATGATCTCACTACACAACAGGTGAGTCTGTCTGTGAATGGTGATCTCACTACACAGGTGAGTCTGTCTGTGAATGATGATCTCACTACACAACAGGTGAGTCTGTCTGTGAATGATGATCTCACTACACAACAGGTGAGAATGTCTGTGAATGGTGATCTCACTACATAACAGTTGAGACCGTCAGTGACCGTGACTGACAGTTTGTCCATCGTGTCCATTGGAGTTATCTCCCTTGAACCAAAATGTTACTATTTCCCTTGATCCATATTCCAGTTAGTTAATGTTGGTACACTGTATCAATACAAAAGATATGTTTTGGTATTTACAGATTCTGCACTATGTTGATGGCTACTCCCATGTTGCCAAGATCGCTGCGGAGGCTGATGTGGAGATCAACTTGGTCAAAGCCTGCCTCCAGAATCTGATGTAAGCAGTTCGAGCTAAACTGTGGGGGATAAGTTTACAGTGAACCAGAAAACCTAAACTGGAAAGTTTGTTCACCAGTAAACAATATTGCTGGAGTAAAGATTTCTTCACAATTGTTTGCCCATCACACTTGAGTTTTGCATGATGTGTAGAATCTTTCCTTTATCCTCAAATATATATACTCTTGATAAAGGTTTGAAATCCTCAGAGTTTAAACTTAAATTGACTTGTGTTTGATATATTTGATGACAAAGACATGAAGGCGAGATGCTCTATGACTTGTATATTTCCAAAGAAGTAATCATTCCGATGTGGTGGTTTCTGGAATAAGAGGCTTCTACTGTACACTATCAGTTTGCATGTTGTTATCTAATATTTAGAATATTTTTTTCAGACATTACACTGTGATTAAACTGATATCCATTTTCCAGGTGAGTTTCCAGAACATTTTCATCATATTTATGTTAAATGTCAGTAAATGAAAAGATGAACTGGATACAGTTAGAACAGAGGCATAAGTATTGTAATGTAATGCCTTAAGATGTTTTTAAAATCTTTATTGAAGTGAAGAGATTTATGTCCAATACACTCACTTATCTAATTTGTCATTTTTCACTGGCAGTAAGTTGCCTAGTGGTTGTAGGTGACACAATACTGAGTTACCTCCCTTATGTGTTTCAGAATCCTATGATAATGAATTTGATTCCCAGGTTGCACCATAGTTATAAACACCTGCATCACTTTGGGCTTTGCTTCCACAATAATCTGACATCTTAGAGTAAGTTGTTCGAGGCAGTGTTACCTGTAAATCCAACACTTATTCACTCACTTTTCATTTCTTGTTGCAGTATTCAAATGTATACACAGTAACGCCAGAAATCAACTCACTATTTGAAAACACAGCTCTACAGATGGAATGTGTCCAATTTGTAGCAAGAAAAGGTAAAACCAGTGTATTTAAGGAAAAAGGGTTGTCTAAAAGTTAACAAGTTTTCAAATTCTTCGGTTGCTACCCTGTGTGGTTTCTTGGTCAAACATCATTAGAGCTTACTAAAATAGAAATTTTGCTGGTTAGGCTGTGTGACTGAATGTTTCTCATTGTGGCTTAATTGTCTGGATGGCGTTTCATGATTCGAGTGGGTTAGTTTATGGTCCTGCAGAGCTCCAGATAAGATTTAGCTCATGTGGGTACTGTACCCACTGTATTTTTTTGGTGTGGGTATTATGAATGTTGAGTGGGTATTTCATTTTCGGTTACCGACTGCTTTCAAATATGTGCGTATTTCAGTCATTTTATTCACTTAAGTGTATATCACTGAGTACGTTTACTAAGCAGGTATGTTCTGCCTTATGTCATACCTAATCAAAACCAACTTTAATATAATGGAAATGATTTCATAAAAAATCACTCATCTTGTACTGACAGTACAACACTTGTCCTATACTAACAGTACAACTTGATAGCAATCGATGTCTTTTTCATTACGAAAGCGATTTTTATAAATATATTCCGTACGCATTTGTTTTAAACTTTTTGCGTATCTAACATTTTAAATGCGTAATTGGTACGCAACAATTATTTTTTGAATGCGTAATTGGAAATTTTCTATGCGTATCTTACCCGGATACACAGCTTATCTGGGCCTCTGGTCCAGTCTTGATTTACCAGACATCAAGATGTGGCCTGTAGCTGTGATATTGCAGAATGTGGTGTAAAACAATATTCAGTCACTCGTTGATGGTCACAGCTAGTACCAAGTGGGACTGGAGTGAACATTGAAGTGACTTTCTTTCATCGGGCGTGGGGGTAGCCTTGTGGTTCAAGTATTTACTCGTCATGCCTGGCCCGTCTAAGTCAACGTAGGCTCAGTATTATTCGTTATGTACACTGCTATACTGAGTCTAACAAAACCTAGTAGAAGGTCGCGTCAGCTGACCATTGAGCGACCTATGACCGTCCAATCAAACACGATACGTCCGAATGGATTTAACCAATCAGACAACGACTACTTGTTAGGGTTAGGCGGGACTTACAAAACGGTTTTGGATTTTCTCTTCCCTGGTTGCTGACACTGATATATCAACAAACGAAAATCCACATAAAACACAGATATTTGACCTGCAGTATATACGCTTATGGGTTTCTAATGACATGGTTACTATTTTCTTATATTTTCGCAAGATGACATCCTTGAACATTGACAAAAACGCTATTTTCAGCAACTGTTTACTACACGATCGTGCGGAAAATAGCATCGGAATCGTTCCGAGTTTTTTAGGTAAAGGTTCAAACGGTATGTGTGAATGTTAACGTTCGCGATTTGGTAAGCTGTGTTCTGATTGGTCAGTCCAAAAGGTTAGCTGACGCGACCTTCTACTAGGTTTTGTTAGACTCAGTATAGCAGTGTAACGAATAATACTGAGCCTAAGTTTACTTAGACTGCACGCCTGGCTCAATTCCCCACATGGGTACAATGTGTGAAGCCCATTCCTGGTGTCCCCCACAGTAATATTGCTGGAATATTGCTGAAAGCGGCATAAAAATAAACTTACACACCCACTCACTTGAGTTACAGGGTATAATAGCCATGTATTTTGGAGTTTGTGGTGGTATTTTTGTAAAGCTGAAAGAACATCTGTACTGTGTTCATCTGAACATATCTGTCAACTTGTCAGGTCACACACTGCCGGCGTTCCGCGATGTGTTCATGCTGTACTGTTCGTTCAGCCCAGGGACCACAGTCAAGGACATCTGTAACAGGATCGGCCCACACGCCCTCAAGGTGGACGAGAGGTACTCCGCACACATACACTTATGATGGGATGAGTTCACATACAGCTGTGACTTTCTGTCTTCAGTATCAATGAATCATATGGGGCGGTGGGGTAGCCTAGTGGTTAAAGCATTCGCTCATCACACCGAGGACCCGGGTTCAATTCCCCACATGGGTACAATGTGTGAAGCGGCCAGGGATTTACAGGATGCGAATAAGATCATACTTTTAGGGATCATTTCTATGGTATGTATCGCCATGACTTCAGGTAAAACTGACAGTCTACCAAACCACGAGGATCCTATACACATAAAAATTAGCAATGGACGCAACAAAATATATTAGTGCGTCCATAAGGACTCAGAAAAAGTCTAAATATGTTTTGTAAAAATTCCAATCAAGTAACAATAAGTTATCACTGAGTTTGCTACTAGCTGGGTTATGGTATTATTTGCAATTTGATTACTGTAACAATGTGATGATCATGATACACAATACAATAACTATATTAACAATAATATTTAAGTGTCTGGGACCCCCATTTTGTTGTCCAGGACCCATGAAACTTAAGAGTATGAGTCCCTGGGACCCTCAAATACAGGACTCCATGTAAATCCCTGGAAGCCCATTTCTGGTGTCCCCTTGCTGTGATATCACTCACTCACAAAGCTCACATACCATGATACATAACTGAAATATGATTAAAACAACACCAAACCAAACTCACTCACTCGCTCTGAGACTAGATACACAAAACCCAGGAGAGGTCTCTCATGTGTTCACCTTATCTATCTGGTTGACTCTTCCAGGAAACTAGTTCAGTTCGGGCTGATGAACGGTCTGATTCGCCACCTTCACAAGTACCCAGTCAAACTGCCCAACGAACCTGGCCAGTCGTCACGACTACACCACTTCTATCAGTATTTTAATGGGGTTCATCATTCAGACGAAATCTGCTGTCGGCATGGTATGTGCATATTTTCTTATCCAGATCTAGGAAACTAGTAGGGCTGCGCAATATAACCGGTTTACCGGTATTTACCGGTTCAGACATGAAAACGATACATATTGCGTATACGCTGATCGAAAACCGGTATTTTGACATGCATTCGGAAAACTTTGTAACACTCGGAAATCTTCGGATATTTCCGTTTTTTGAAGTGTTCTTTTCCCTGTTTCATTAGTGCCAAATGTTACTTACATTTTTATTTTGTCATGATTAAAAGTTTTTATAAAAGGTTAATCAATCATAGTGATTTTGTTGTGTTTTTGCTTTATAATCAAGCATTAACTCGATTATAAGTAGTTTTTGTTAAAAAAATAATCCTTGCAACATATTGCAATACATATCGCAATATATGCTTCCGCATCGCAATATATCGCAATATGAAAATCCTCTGCAATACCCACCCCTAGAAACTAGCATCCAGTTTTCATGACAAAATGAATACAGTGTGTCTTAAGATATTTTATGTGTTTCCCTATCCATCAATGAAGATCAATATGTGCATATTTCCGTGGAAACAGTTCCTGATTATGATAAGCAAGAAGTGCTGTTCCATAATGAGTTTTTTATATGCAGTAATGTAACATCTATTTCAAAGCAGTAATAAAGGTCAGACATACCAAAAGTCGATCTTCCAAAAGCTATCACTGGACACAGATTTGTCACAAAGTAAACACAAATATACCTAATTTAGTTAAGTCTTACCACAAGCACTTGGTAATGGAACCTACATTGTGTCTGGATTGTCTCATCCTGACTCAGTTATTTACAGACTGCCGTTATATAGCTGGAAAATTGCTGAGCAGCATTAAAAAAACACAGAACGACACATCAATGGTGTGATGTACAATGATATTCACACAGGGATACGATTACGGATACATTAAAATAGGTATGCATCACTGTTGTCAATATTAACTTTGGAATGGTTACCATGGTTACAGGTATCAGTCAGCAGGAGCTGGATGAGCGGATAGAGAGTGACCCCAGCGTGGTGGCGTGTTGGAAATGACCAGCTTGACCTGTGACTGAGGACAGAGATCAGAATAACATGGACCTACAAGCAGCCATGTCAAGTGTGACAGACATTTGTAACAACCTCAATATCAGGGCATTCCAAGTGGACTGTTTGTTACTGACATCATGTGTTTTGATTCACACGTGTAAAAAGGTTGATGGCATCGGAAAGTGCTCAAGACATTTTTAAGTATTAATGGCTGGTGCTACACAACATGGCAGTGTAGCCGTGTTTCTGAAGCTGTGACTTGTGAATATATTCAAAGGCTGTGATGACATTTTCTGCATGAGGCTGATGTCAGTGACCCAAGTCAGAAACGAAACAATCCGTTCAGTGAAACTGATTTTGTAAAATTGGTGAAAATGGTTTGAAAATGTTTTGAGAAGTTGTACTGTGGTATGATGTCAAGATAGAAAGTAGTGCTATTTAGCACAGTGCTACAGTATGGCAGGGATACAGAAATGAATAAAGTGCTACATTTTTTCAAAAGCTATGGGTCAGTGTACATGTTAAATCCATTCTCAGCTCCAAGGGGAGTATAAAACCCAAGTTGCCTTATGAGGCTCTAGACGCCATTACTCATCTGTCAGGGATGGGGTAGTTGGGGTAGCCTTGTGATTAAAGCAGTCACTCATCACGCCAAAGACCCGGGTTCGATTCCTGAACATGTGTAACTCATTTAGGGTGTCCCATGACATCGTATTGCAACAAATATTTCTAAAACTAAACTCACTCACTCATCCTACTGGGTACCCATTCATTGCCAGGTGAACAGAGGCATATTTCAAAGAAAGTCTCACTCTTAAGAGAAATGCATGTAACGTGCTTACTCAGTTAATGAGTAATGTAACAAGTTTCTTTTATTCAACATTCAATCTTCACAAGAACAAAACATGTTCAGCAGACTATATCTTGCACTCGGATTATCTCATGTCACAGTCACAGGCAGCTTCTTGATGGAGCGTATGTCTCACATTATTTGTTCTTTCAAGGAATCCTCTCTCTCTTCTCACAGTCTCACACTTTCACAATTGCTTTGCCAGTGTTAGCTCCACGGAAGAGTCCCACAAAAGCTTCAGCCATATTCTCGAAGCCTTCGGTGATTGTTTCACGATACTTTATCTTGCCCTGAAAACAAAACCAAAAATCACACGGAGAATGTTACATTCCCTAGACAGACTCTTAAAGCAAGCATTCATTTCATGACGAACAAAACACTCTTACAGTTGAGCATGAGCTGTAACTTGGCTTCCTGCCAGTGTTGGAAGTGATGGAACCTCATCAGGACAAACCTGGTTATTTGTTAATTACCTGTTTTATCCAATCAATGACCTGTATCTTGGCTTCCGGCCAGTGTTGGAAGTAATGGCGACACATGAACCCCTTCATAGTGAGTTGCTTGACCAGCATCTGCCCATACACCAGGGGACCTGCAGCAACAGTGTACAGCAACAGTGAACAGCAACAGTGAACAGCAACAGTGTACAGCAACAGTGTACAGCAACAGTGAACAGCAACAGTGTACAGCAACAGTGAACAGCAACAGTGTACAGCAACAGTGAACAGCAACAGTGAACAGCAACAGTGAACAGCAACAGTGAACAGCAACAGTGTACAGCAACAGTGTACAGCAACAGTGAACAGCAACAGTGAACAGCAACAGTGAACAGCAACAGTGTACAGCAACAGTGTACAGCAACAGTGAACAGCAACAGTGAACAGTAACAGGAACAGCAACAGTGTACAGCAACAGTGAACAGCAACAGAGAACAGCAACAGTGAACAGCAACAGTGAACAGCAACAGTGAACAGCAACAGTGAACAGCAACAGTGAACAGCAACAGTGAACAGCAACAGTGAACAGCAACAGAGAACAGCAACAGTGAACAGCAACAGAACAGCAACAGTGAACAGCAACAGTGTACAGCAACAGTGAACAGCAACAGTGAACAGCAACAGTGAACAGCAACAGTGTACAGCAACAGTGAACAGCAACAGTGTACAGCAACAGTGAACAGCAACAGTGTACAGCAACAGTGAACAGCAACAGTGTACAGCAACAGTGAACAGCAACAGAGAACAGCAACAGTGTACAGCAACAGTGAACAGCAACAGAGAACAGCAACAGTGAACAGCAACAGCTACACCACAGCACATCCAGAATGAAATTTGTGTCAGGTACTGTAATGGTCAACTGCATGAGCATCTACCTCGGCTGTTGGGGCACACCGACACTCTCCCTACCCAGTGTTCCTTAGTACGTCTGCCAGGCAGCCGCCATATTATTCATCACAACTTACACAGTCCATTCAACAGCAACAGAGAACAGCAACAGTGTACAGCAACAGTGAACAGCAACAGTGAACAGCAACAGTGTACAGCAACAGTGAACAGCAACAGTGTACAGCAACAGTGAACAGCAACAGAGAACAGCAACAGTGAACAGCAACAGAGAACAGCAACAGTGAACAGCAACAGTGAACAGCAACAGTGTACAGCAACAGTGAACAGCAACAGTGAACAGCAACAGTGTACAGCAACAGTGAACAGCAACAGCTACACCACAGCACATCCAGAATGAAATTTGTGTCGGGTAGTGTAATGGTCAACTGCATGAACATCTACCTCGGCTGTTGGGGCACACCGACACTCTCCCTACCCAGTGTTCCTTAGTACGTCTGCCAGGCAGCCGCCATATTATTCATCACAACTTACACAGTCCATTCAAGATATTATGCTTTTTATCTGTTTCAATTTTGACGCGTCTTAACATCTAGATAAACTTTTGACATAGAATGATTACTTTCATCAAGAATATCTGCTAAAACATGAAAAGAAGTATTTCAACTTGCGTAGTCATCTGTTGTTTACGTTGGTTGAGCAGCTCCACTTGCTCTCATCAAAGCCATTCAGGGCATTTACAGATTGTTAAGATGATTATAGAAATGCTATGATGAGTATCACTATACATCTATATACACCATAATGGTATCATTCAGTTTTTATCCGTGGGTTATACCACTGATTTTGTGTGCCTGACTCTGAAAGTGTGGTTTCAAATCCTGGATTGGACTCAGAAAATTGTAATCTCTAGCCAATAAAAAACCATGAGCAAGGCTCACTAAAACCACGACAGTGACTCCCAATTTCAGCTGAACAAAATTGAATAATGATTATTCTTGACAAAAATACAAGATATGTACCTTTCCTATAAACAAATAAGCCATTACTCAAATCTGAAAACGATCCATTTAATGATTTTAAAGTTATTGGTTGAACAAATTTGATGCGGGAGTTTTAGAGGTGTAATTTGTGATAAGTCGCGACTAGTTCAAAATATTTAAAAATACAACTTTGCACTGCACCTCTCCTATAGATATGGAGGGTGATCCCAAAATTAGGAAACAATACATTCAAAGTTATTGGCTGAACAAAAGTTCCCTAGTATTTTTATAAAGTTCAAATTGCCGCCTCTCTTCAAAAGTAACAATGTTGGAACCCAGCTTTGCACTACACTTTCCCTTTGGACAGAGAAACTGTTTTTCAGTTTTGAAAACAATCCCACCAATTCTTTTCATGTTACTGGCTGAAATTATTAAATCGCTCTAATTCTTACAAAAGTAAAACATTATTTGCAATTTGCATGGCACCTCTCAACTCACCTGTCTGCTGTTTGCCGTCGTACCTGTACTGGTCAATCTGACCACACACTGCAATACGACCTCCCTGTTTCATGTTGAACAACACAGTGCTGGAAAACTCACCCCCAACCTGCAACAATCACATCTGACATTAACCTCTCTCCCCAAGTCTAACAGTTACCCCATTTTTTGCATGAAGTCATCATTTTAGAAGTGTTTACCACAAACAAATACCCACCAAAATTTGCAACACAAATGTTTTACCTGCCAACATACAAACATAATACTAAAGTGTCTGTCATCAAATTTCAGTTTAATAGTATAATTGGCTGGTTACAAAACCTTAATCGGTACAACCAAACATGCATCATGTAAACAAACAAATTTCGAGTAATTCTGTGGCATTTGATTGGCTAACAAAACAACCATTTTGGTATTTATGTTTCCATAAACAAAGTTCTCTCTATTGGCTATTTTTCTTAGTGAGAAACCATTCTTCAAGTTGTAATTCTATTCCTGCTTAGGGTATCTTCTTATCAATATCTGTTCATGTGCCACCCCAAGCATGTAAAAAAGTCAAATAACCTCACACCAGGGATATAGCCAATTTACAAGACAACAAGAATGGCGCCTGTTTCAGGATCCACTGCTGTAGAGTTTATTGTGTGATGTGTCATGCCTGTATATATTGACATGGTGTTACGGTTAATAAATTGCCGTGACAAAAGGTTGAAGAATCCCCTTTGAACCAGCAAAATATAACACAGACAAGTCTAAAATATTCAATAATATATTGAGCAAACAATGAGCAAGCTGCAATGAATCACAATACAGATTTCTAATACAATGCAATTGAGTCACAAATCTAAAGTAATGGGTCACATATCAGATAATCTAAATGGAGCTTGTTTACAAATTAGAGCAGTCAGGCACGAAGTGTCAGGGTCAGACAATGGAGATGTGGCGAAGGGCGAAAGCAAACAACGATGGGCAACTCCAGTGATATCGAAAGTCCCGTGTTATTCCATGTGTCAGTCCTTGCGTGTCACACCACACAACAGCCAGCCTATATATATACTGACACAGATTCTCAAACCTTCCAGCAAAGCATGGCTGTATCATTAACCAATTAGATCTTTCTCGAAACGTGTTGAACATACGACATGACGATGTCAACACATAAACATCCGGTCAAGGGAGGTAACTCCAGAGTAGGGCTCTCACGAATACTCGGGTACTCGGGGCCGAGTCGGGTAAAGCAGGACTCGAGGACTCGCAGGGGAGATACCTCTAAACATCTCATGCAATCAAGATATGGATGATCGTGAGAAAAAATCCAATGTCTGGACGCATTTTTATCTTGATTTAGTGGCCAAAATACGAAATGCCGTCTTTGTGGCGTTTCCCTTAGTTACGCGAGCATTTGTCCTGTAAGCACCCACAATAAGCACTGTAGACAGAAAACCAGCCCAACAAGCAACGCTGTGGCAGTTTGGTAAGTTTGATAGCAAAAGTCGCAAGCCTGTTGACAGGAAATGGTATGAAGGTATTACATAAAAGCAATGCTTATCTTGGCGTTAAGGATAAGCGACCATTAAGTCTTGTTAAAGGGGAGGGTTTCAGGGCTTTCTGTGAACCATTGAACCAAAATTACCAGGTCCCATGTACTGCGCGACAATTCACAACTACCTCATAAAAGTCGTATGAAGTTTGCCAGGAGAACAAAATATCAGTACCCAAAACAGTACCTGCCGTTGCCCTAACTACGGACGCGTGGATAAGCGTAGCCACGCACGGCTGTTTCACTGTCCCTGCCCACTATACCTATGTTTGAACAACTTGTTTTCTACATAGATATTCAATCGTTCTTATCCAGCGTATTTCAGTGTTACATATTCAACAATCAACACATACATACACATTCAAAATAACATTCACACTTGGAGACCTATATCTTTAATAGTGAAACTTTTAATCACAATGAATACCATTGACGTGATCTCCGTTCAGCAGTTTTCGGAAGAAGAAATACAGCGTAGTGTTACTCAATAAATGGTTAGTCTTTAGTTTGAAACCAAACCGTTTTCACTATAAGAAGTCTCAAATAAACATCAATCCTGTTTAACATATTCTTTAAGTTCCATAGTCGATCCATCTTTACAAGATACTAGTATCTTATGCAGCACCAATCAATGAATGCTTTAACTATGTATCTTCCAGCTTTGGAACGTGTTTTGCCGCATTTTAACCGTGATTAAGGTTAATTGATTATGTGACTTATCGTCCAGGTGAATGTTTAAAAGTTGCTAATATGTCATAACTGCAACGACATATTAATATTAGATAATCTTGAAAGCGCAGTCAAACTTAAAACCAAAAGAAGAGAGAAGTAGATTGATTGATTTCTTTTCCCAGACACATCCAATCATATTACAGCATTTACAGGCGTAATAAGGTATCACGTCTAACATCCATACTTACTAAATTATTCAATTTGTCCCTTAGCCAATTTTTCCCAGTCCATGGAAAGAAGCATCGGTAATACCTATTCACAAGAAAGATAGCGTACATGACTGTTCTAACTACCGCCCTGTCGCACTCACATCTTGTTTATCGAAAGTCTTTGAGAAAAGTGTATTTAAATATGTATTCAATTTCCTAAGAGATAACGACTTAACGACAAATTTACAATCAGGATTCATGCCAGGAGACTCCACAACAAATCAATTAACCTTTTTGTACAACTTTATAGCCAAAGCTCTTGACGAAGGAAAAGAGGTTAGAGCAGTCTTCTGCGACATAAGTAAAGCCTTTGATAAGGTCTGGCATAGAGGAATTATTTATAAACTGAAAACGTATGGTATCCAAGGCGAACTATTACAATGGTTTGAAAGTTATTTAGAAAATAGAGTACAACGGGTCGCAATTAACGGCTCTAAATCTGACAAGAAAACTGTACTAGCTGGAGTACCTCAGGGCTCTGTCTTTGGACCACTTCTTTTTGTTATATACATTAACGATATTGTATGTGATGTTGACAGTAACATTCGTCTCTTTGCGGATGACACTTCATTATATGTTATCATAGACGATCCATCAGTTGCTGCTACCTGTCTTAACAAAGATCTAGATAGAATTTCACAATGGGCCCGTAAGTGGCAGGTTACATTTCATCCCAATAAAACCGAAACTACTCAGTTCTCACGTAAAACGAAACCGTCTCTAAAACCGAACCTATTCATGGACGGAACAATCATAAAAGAATTCAAAAGTCATAAACATTTAGGATTAACACTCCAAAGCGATTGTACGTGGAATGATCACACTAATGATATTGTGCGTAAAGTTAAGCCCCTATGATCAGTTGTCTGAGGAGTTTTAAATACCGATTATCACGCAAAAGCGTTGGATATTATGTATAAATCCTATATCTTGCCAATATTTGACTATTGTTCACATATTTGGGATAACTGTACTTCTGAGCAATCGTACATTAGAAAATTTACATCTTGATGCTCTGAGAACTATATGTGGTGCCGTTAAGCACAAGTCATAACAAACTCTATAATGAAACCAAATCTCAGTCCATGCAAGATAGAAGGAATTGCCAGAAGTTAACTTTTTTCTATAAGATGTACAACAACCAATTGCCAAAATATCTTTGTGACCTGATCCCAAACTCCGTCTCGGGAACTACAAACTACAGCTTGAGGAATAACTCTGAAATACAAAGAATTTACAGTCGCACTGCCTCTTATGCTAAATCCTTTTTACCTGCCACAATAAATTTATGGAATGCCCTACCAAATTCCAAAGCGTCATGTAATCTCACAGAATTTAAAAACCTAATTACAAAAACTGGAAATAAGATTTACCTTGACCTTAATTATGGCACTCGTTTTTGCCAAATCGTTCACTGCCGCCTCAGGCTCGGATGTAGCGACCTAAACGCCGATAAGTATAACAGACATTTAATAGACAGCCCTTGTTGTTCTTGTGGACATCAGAGTGAAAACGCCCTACACTATTTCCTCACTTGCCGTAACTATACTCGGATAAGACTTAATATGTATTTTTACACTACCGGTTATAACCTGGATACCATTCTTAAGGGAAACAAAGAACTTACTCCCTGTGTAAACCAGAAAATAGTTGAATCCGTCCACGATTATATAACCAAGACACAACGCTTTAAATTTTCTCAGGAAAATAATTAAATTTACTCAACAACCTTCTCATGATTGATTTATAGTTCTACAATGGCTTGTGAGACACACACAACTGTAACTCTCTAACTTATGACTACTTAGAGAATAGTTGTATTTCATGTAATCTGTATATATTTATACATTCTAAAAATATTATATTTATGCAATGGTCAGTATTGATGACGTCAAATCCTCCATTTTCATGTTGTATTATATGTTGCATGGGAGCGGTGTTAATATAAGCAGTAATGCTTGTTCACCAATCCCAATTCATCTTCATGAATAGAAATATGTTTAAATAAATAAGGTATCACCGGCCCAGCTCATGAATATTAATCACATAATTGATCGCGTAGAACTGGTCACAGTGACACTTACGTTGCCTTCACATTCTGTTTGCAAATAAAAAGGTAATAGATACTTCCTTTGACATTGAATATCAATTGCTTTATTCAGGAACGTTTGGATTCACATATACATGTTGCATTATTCGTAGATTGGAAGTTGGAACAGCTACGTGTATGCTTGAATGTTGGCTTCAGATAAGCATCCAAATTGTCGGGTACTCGGGTCCGAGTCGAGTCTGACACCTCGAGTACTCGAGTCCCAAATTTTGGACTCGTGAGAGCCCTACTCCGGAGCCCTATCATAAAGGCGTGCCGCTAAAATACTGTTGCCACTGAACATATATGACTCGAAATGTGACCCACAACCAACACTCAAAACTTTAAACATTGTGACTCATAATTATTATCACCTAACCAATGTTATTACAAATTACAAAAAACACACTCTCATAACACATGGAAAGGAATAGTTACACAACTTAAAAAGGATACACTGGGCAGTGTTTGCCCTTATCCCTGAAAAGTTGCAGGCCCTAAGGACCCAGAACCATAAAAAGTTGTTGGTCCTGATCAGAATATGCAGGCCCGATATTTTAGGTACAGTATATATAAGTAATTCCCAGCTAACAAAAAATGTGACAACTAACAAACTGAGTTAAAGAGTTTTAACTCTTTACTGGGAATGAAAAAACTGTCGGACATAAGGACCTGCAGAAAACAAAAGTGTGGGTCCGAGTGGTTTTCAGTCGGCTTAAGGCCTATGGAACAACGTTAATTTTGAACGCTGACACTGGGTTATTGTGGAGATGGTGGTCATATAACTGGGTTTTGGGACGTTTATCATGTGTATCTGTACACAGTGCTTTAGCTTCCAAACTTTGACTGAACTGACAGTACTGGGTAAGAGAGGAAAGACAGATTGAAGTCAGTGCTCCAATACACCAGAGTTATCTCCCTTGGCTTTGTGTAGCATTAGGGAATGTAAACGTTTCATGTGTCCCTGAACAAGACTAATGGCCTTGACCACGAACCTGATAATCATTAATCATCACAGTCAATCTGCGGTAAATTATATGACATCAAAGCCTGATGCTGCAGACGCTCCCCTACTCACGTTGTCGAAGTAGCAGTCCACGCCTTCAGGAGCCGCATCCTTGATGCTGTCCTCCAGTTTGGTTTCCTTGTAGTTGAACACTGCATCAAACCCGAGTTCACTTTTCAGCCAATCACATTTCTCCTTGGTTCCAGCATAGCCAATCACTTTGCAGCCCTACAATTCAGATGGTGCTATTTTACTTGAAAAGTTGTGACTTGCCTATGTTGAAGTGTGAGAGTTACGATCATCTTAACACTGTAAGAAATGATGTGTTACATGCTTATCAACTACCCTAAAGCCATGTGATCGTGGTGCCATGATCACAGTAGCCAATGAAATGAAGAAGCTGAAGCAGGGTGCTGATGTCAATGAACTCCACGAATCCCTCAGGATTTCTACCACACGTTGCCACAATTGCTTTAACCATGTTAACATTAAAGTGGTTCAAACTTGTCCTCTGCACAAGAACGGTACCTTTATCTTTGCCATCTGCCCGACAACGCTGCCAACAGCACCTGCAGCAGCGTTCACAAGGACAGTCTCTCCCTGCACTGGCTTCAAGATTTCCTCCACCCCAAAGTAGGCCGTCATGCTAGGAACACATCAGGCAGTGAGTGAGTGTGACTCATAATATAGAAATATATACAATATAAATATAAAATATATATTTCATATTGTCAGGTATCATCATAAGGGTCTGCATGTATCAAATATCTCAAGGAGGCAACACAATGCTGCTCATTGTAATGCACAAGAATTTACTTCACATTGAATGATAAAGAAGTAACAGATTTTAAATCACTCTGTTGTCCATATAAGTTGAACAACACTATGATTGTTGACTTCTATCTTGTTGCAGATAACCCACTATCAAGTGCAAACAAAACTCTGCCCAATATCGGCCTTTGGGCAGGTCCAGATAAACAAGTGACAAATATCTGCCTTTGAGCAGATGGAGATAACCCCTGCCCAATATTAGCCTTTGAGCAAGTCCAGATAAGCCACTACCACACATCAGACTTTGAGCAGGTCCAGATACCCCCTGCCCAATATCGGCCTTTGAGCAGGTCCAGATAAACAAGTGACAAATATCAGCCTTTGAGCAGTTTCAGATAAACCCCTGCCCAATATTGGCCTTTGAGCAAGTCCAGATAAGCCACTACTACACATCAGACTTTGAGCAGGTCAGATAAACCCCTGCCCAATTTCGGCCTTTGAGCAAGTCCAGATAAACCACTACTACACATCAGACTTTGAGCAGGTCCAGATAAACCACTACTACACATCAGACTTTGAGCAAGTCCAGATAAGCCACTACCACACATCAGACTTTGAGCAAGTCCAGATAACCTACTACCACACATCAGACTTTGAGCAAGTCCAGATAACCTACTACCACTCATCAGACTTTGAGCAGGTCCAGATAAACCACTACTACACATCAGACTTTGAGCAAGTCCAGATAAGCCACTACCACTCATCAGACTTTGAGCAGGTCCAGATAAACCACTACTACACATCAGACTTTGAGCAAGTCCAGATAAACCACTACCACACATCAGACTTTGAGCAAGTCCAGATAAGCCACTACCACACATCAGACTTTGAGCAAGTCCAGATAAGCCACTACCACACATCAGACTTTGAGCAAGTCCAGATAAGCCACTACCACACATCAGACTTTGAGCAGGTCCAGATAAACCACTACTACACATCAGACTTTGAGCAAGTCCAGATAAGCCACTACCACTCATCAGACTTTGAGCAGGTCCAGATAAACCACTACTACACATCAGACTTTGAGCAAGTCCAGATAACCTACTACCACTCATCAGACTTTGAGCAAGTCCAGATAAACCACTACCACACATCAGACTTTGAGCAAGTCCAGATAAGCCACTACCACACATCAGACTTTGAGTAGTTCTACATTAATCCTAGGCACATCAACCCTTCAATAAATGGCATCGTCACACAGATATTACCCTGGCATGCCAACAGTTCCAAGAGCAAGGGATGCTGGGAGTTCTCCAAGGGGAGGTAACTGTTCCAGGATGGATGTATCGGACACAACGATGGTGTGTGGCCAGCGCCAGCCAAGTCTGGCCAGAACCATCGTCCCTACTGGGAAACTGTCACTCTTACTGGCGGTCACTCTAGAAAAAAACATCACAAGTATCAGTACACCAGATTATTATTAATTAAAGCAGAAGACAAGCAAGTTGTCACAAGTTTTATACATGAAATTCTAAGTTTAAAACTTAAAAACAGTAAAATAGATCAGCATAAAAGACACGTGCATTTCCAATCATGTACTATAAAGAAAACTGACACAGGTTGTGAAACAATGGCTTGGGCTGATATGACAGGTAAATAATTGTTGCACTTGGGTAGGAAGTGTTGAATTTAATATTTTATGCCACAGATAACAAAATACAAGGGATTGACCGGTAAATAATTGTTGCACTTTGGTAGGAAATTTTGATTCATGAAGAATTTTGAACTCAGTACCCTTTGCTGGCAAATTGAGAAGAAATTTTTTGTTGGTTCAAACTTTATATTCCTTTCAAGGTTCATTTTTTCCTAAGTTCTGAGGGATTTGGGGTTTTAAATAGTCTCTTCTTTTCACTAGTCCTGTTATCAATGATACCCAAGTTTCCTTAACCATCCATCACATCACAATGAACAGGTCAGGCTGACTTGGTTGATACATTTCGTTGTATCCTAATTGCGTAGATGGATGCTCATGATGTTGATCACTGGATTGTCTGGTCCAGACTGGATTATTCACAGACCACTGACATATAACTAGAATATTGCTGAGTGCTGAGTTATAATACAAATATGTCAGTTCCACAGATCAGTGTTCATAGGCGGATCCAGGAATTTTCAAGGGGGAGGGCTCAAACCCCCTGAACCCCCCTTGGATCAACCAGTGGTGTCCACCTACCTTGCCACTTGCTCACACTGCATCACGTCTCCCACAGCCACCTTGAACAGCCTAGAACACATAGTGCAGTCTTGGTCAAGCTTCCAAGGAAATGAGAAGTTTGATGTGATCAAAGAGACTTGGTGAGTGAGTGAGTTTAGTTTTACGCCACACTCAGCAATATTCCAGCTATATGGCAGCGGTCTGTAATTAATCGAGTCTGGACCAGACAATCCAGTGATCAACAGCATGAGCATCGATCTGCGTAATTGGGAACCGATGACATGTGTCAACAAGGTCAGCGAGCCTGACCACACGATCCCATTAGTAGCCTCTTACGACAAGCATAGTCGCCTTTTATGGCAAGCATGGGTTGCTGAAAACCTATTCTAGCCCGGGTCTTCACGGGTCCAAAGAGACTTGGTATAAGATAACCTCATCCACACGCTACAGAGCTACAGATACCTTTTTGGGTCATTGAGTTATGTATTCGCTTGTGTTCATTTCAACTGGGTATCCTAATTTTTCTTTGAGTAACCAAATAAATTGTACCCATCTCACTCAAACTCAATTGGGTATTTTGCCATTTTCCATTAATATTAAAATATAGGAAAGTTTAAATGTTGGTTTACGTGTTTGTTGTATATATTTGATCTGTAATATGAGAAACGATAAATAAAGACTGCAACTTGCCAAGTCCATGTGCTGAAATAGAACCTCTCAATATACCCCAGTTATTTCATCTATCCACCAGTACGCAAGCTAAGATTTGACATTTTTGTGTGTAATCTTGTAAGATCAAATTTATTGAGTATTTATAAAAATTCAAGCGTACTTGTATGCTATAGACTTAATAGGAATTGAGTTTTCACATAAATATTTGCGTAATTTATCTTATCTTATCTGTACTATATTTGGCAGGAGGGTGATTTAATTTATGGCTTAGATCATTCTTCAAAATATTTCTCATTGAAACAGTAATATTTAGTGTTTTGAGTGTAAAACTGGTACTGAGGTCTAGCTTTTGTGGCAGAGCAGTTACTGAAGTCAACAGATTGTGACATCATTGAAAACAATGACATCACATTTGTCTGCAATGCATTGTGATGCAATTCCCTGTAGCGATATCTCTTGATTTCACACATGTTCATTGTTACAATATCTCTCTTGATTTCACACCAGCAATATCTCCTGTGAAGGCCAGGTTTAGACGACAAAAAACATGTCTGGAAGCTGTGCATGCTCTTAACATTTGGATGTCAAAGAGGACTGCTATTTTTCTAATGAAATACTTTTCATTAATCCTAACCTTGCTTGAGGCCTGATATCAAAAGTGCCAAAGATCATTTGGTGTATGACAATGGACAATAGAAGTCAAGGATCATTTGAAAACCAGACATAACATTCACATGTGAACACTTAAATAGAATTGGAGAATATAATTGTAGTGGTGTGTGAGGATATAGCTACCTCATGTAGGGATCCACGGATAGGAAGACTGCCTCACACAGGACCTCTGTAACACAGACGGGTAAGGATATTAGAGACATTACGTCAATGTTTTAGTTACGTTTGTGTACGTTTTAATATCATAAGATGTGTCACTATCTATCTCGATGTCCTTATAACTAATGTGTCATTATCTCGATGTCCTTATAACTAATGTGTCACTATCTCAATGTCCTGATGAGTCAATCATGACTAAAGTGTCACTATCTATCTCGATGTTATGATAACTAATGTGTCACTACCTTGATGTCATGATAATTAATGTGTCACTACCTTGATGTCATGATAACTAATGTGTCATGATAACTACCTATCTTGATGTCATGATAACTAATGTGTCACTACCTTGATGTCATGATGATAACTACCTTGATGTCATGATGTCAACCTTGATGTCATGATAACTAATGTGTCACTACCTTGATGTCATGATAACTAATGTGTCACTATCTTGATGTCATGATAACTAATGTGTCACTATCTTGATGTCATGATAACTAATGTGTCACTATCTTGATGTCATGATAACTAATGTGTCACTATCTCGATGTCATGATAACTAATGTGTCACTATCTCAATGTCATGATAACTAATGTGTCACTATCTCGATGTCCTGATAACTAATGTGTCACTATCTCAATGTCATGATAACTAATGTGTCACTATCTCAATGTCATGATAACTAATGTGTCACTATCTCGATGTCCTGATAACTAGTGTGTCACTATCTCGATGTCATGACAAATATTGTGTCACTATATCTCAATGTCATGATAAGTAATGTGTCACTATCCTGTACTCATAACTTGTGTGTCACTGTGTTGATGTCATGACTTGTATCACCATATCGAACACTGAACCCGTCAATGTCAGGACAATTTCGATCCGTGTCACTCTGTCAATGGCAAGAAAACGTGTGTGTCACTATGTCAATGTCATGACAACTCCTGTGTCACTCTGTCAATGTGTTTCACTATCTGTTAAAGTCAGGCTGACATGTGAGTAACTGTGTCAAGTCACACCGACTTGATGCGGTGGGGTAGCCTTGTGCGTTCGTCATGATAACTTGTCTGTCACTTGAGCTGACAGCATGATAACTGTTGTATCTTGATGGTATAAATGTGTGTCATGAAGGTATGCTTGTCAGGTACGCAGACACAGACCGGTACGTGATGGTCTGGGGGAGATTTGGGTCAACCTATATGCTTGCCACAAGAGGCAACTATATAAATGCATGGATGGGTGGTCAGGCACAGTGATTTGTTTGATTGTCATTCTATCCAGCATATTGACTAACCAGTATGTCACGTCACGTCACATCAACCATCAGTTCACATCAACACATCAGATCACATTACAAATTATCACCATATATTAGACATCTTATATATATCAGGTCATATTATATCACAAGCAGGTCAACACACACACACGCTCACAAACAGAGGAAACGGTCAATACCTCCATCTTGTAATGTGTCAGGAATGGTTTCCGTCACAAGTTGCAGGTTTGATGTTTGCGGCTGATCTTCAAATTCGTGGGCATAAACCCATTTTCTTGCTTGCACCATTTTCACAGTTTGCAATATTTAGGCCTGTTGACAGATCCAAAACACGTGGTGCACGGTGTTGACCAGTTGTGGGCCGACAATTTCGAAGCCACGCCTCCGTTACTTTTGCAGACCGCTAAGAAAATAAGATATCGCCATTTTTTAAGTCTCTTTCAAAACACGACGAGAAAGTAAAATATGAATATGATTATGTTTCTGTTAATGCTCAAACGTGAATCGATCTCTCGAGTCATAGACAAAAACGCCTATTTGCGCATCGTGTTATGAAAATTCACGTTCATGACTGATCATGTCCGTATGCGTCGAACTGTTTTTATCACAGAAAAAATAAGTAACTGTTCCTGAACGTCTGTGGTGCCCTTAAACCCACAATGTTCATGATCCAAGCTTCTCACTTCCGATTCTTTCATAAGGAATTATTTCACTTTGGCCGTAAAAAGTGCACGTCATAAAAATCGTATATATATATATATACCATTAATAACATTTGTAAATTAAATATTTTTGTAAAAGCTTGAATGTCAGTGATCACTGCACATTCAGATTAACGTTTTAAACTGCTAATTATTCAACTGACCTCATCCTTCAGTCCTGTAAGAACCGATAAGCATTGACTAATGTCTTGTCTCTGAAATGAACACCATTTACCAACACAGTTATTAAATAATCCAAATAAGATATAAGAAAGAGCCAAGAGATTATCTTCATTTTCAGAACTGCAGTAATCCAATATCATCCCAATGCCATAGACTTACATGGGCTGTATTGGCAATATTTGTTTCAGTGTCAGTATATGATTATGAATAACATAAGTTGAGTATGAGTATCATCATAGTAGTGCACCGAGGGAGACTGCATGCCAACGACTGACCAATGACCATCATCTTGCAAAGGCAAACGTGATATTGATGTAGGATCGCGGTCTTATATAGAGGGTATTATATGAGTGCCCATGTCATACTATGTTTACGACACGAGTGCCTAAATGTTGGTACAGCGGGTGGCCACAATATTACGTACATTGTCCATATTTTTTAGTAAGTTTAGAAATTAATCTTACTTTGAAACGATCGCGTTTGAAAACTAACTCTCTAAACGTAACCAATCTTAGCGAAATAGTAGAACCGAACACGCCCTATCGTCACGTGACATTCACGCGACTGAAAAAAGTCGTCTGCTCGCTTCCGTCTGCTATTTTCGTCGACATGGGAAAATCTCAAGACTTGCCTTCGGCCGTTAAAACTATTATTGTAGAACGATATCAGGATGGCCAAAATTGTTCAGCTATTGCAAGACATTTCGGCTTGCCCAGAAGTACTGTTTATTCTTGTGTAAACCGTTTTCAACGAAGAGGCTCGATTGAGAATCGCCATCGAACAGGTCGTGCTGCCAAGGTGTCACGGAGAGGTAGGAGACAGTTGTTTCGGATCGTGAAAGACAATCGCATCGCACCTTTACATGAAATTACCAACATTTTTAATAGGGGTAGAAATTCCCCTGTCTCACGGAGGACAATTAGACGGGTTTTACATGAGAATAAATTTCACAGGCGTATCGTTAGAAAGAAAATAAGAATTCGAGAGAACAACATCAGAAAACGTCTCGCATGGGCAAGAGGGCAAAGGTACAAAACTGTGGATAATTACTGGAATAGAGTAATATTCAGTGATGAATGCAAGGTTATTCTTGGAGAAAATAATCGTGTCTCTATTTGGAGACAGCCCGGCGAAGAGTACCTACCCGAATGCCCGTGTCCAGGTCGGCAGCCTCGAGTGGGTTTGATGATATGGGCTTGCATTACTTGGCATGGTGTCGGAACTTTGACTGTTGTTAACGGCAATATAAATGCCCAGAAATATATAGACATAATTGATTCTCACCTCTGGCCTGTTGTAGCACGTCATTTTCCTGGAAATAATTATATCTTCCAAGACGACAATGCCCCTGTGCATCGGGCCCGAATTGTACAGAACTATAGACAAAACAATGGCATAAATGGCATGGTATGTCCTGCACAATCACCGGATGCAAATATAATTGAAAATTGTTGGTTGATGTTGAAAAACAAGTTGGCCGCACGCCGACAACATATTCAGTCGGCAGCTGATCTCGAGAGAGAAATCAGGGATATCTGGCAAAACACGCCGGTTAACTACATACAGAACTTGTACAGATCAATTCCACGGAGAATAGTGAAAATTCTGAGGAACAAGGGTCATATGACCAAGTATTGAGGTAAGTCACCCTTATTTCATGCTCTATCACCATTTGAATAAACCGCGCTGACAGGAGGCGTCGCACTCGGCCGCCATCAATGTACGTAATATTGTGGCCACCCGCTGTATTTCCCGAGCGAGAGCGAGGTATATACCGATATTTAGGCACGAGTGTCGTATGATACATAGTATGATATGGGCACGAATATAATATTCTGTTTATTACCGAAGTCGTCAAATTGAGAAAAATACACCCAAATCTACCTTCAAACATAGGCTAGCTACCTGCCGTCGCCTATGTAGAAAGCAACGTCATAGAAGTAACGTGACGTCATAGCATTGTTCATGACGTCACATCACCATGACAAAGTGATATTTTGCCCATCGTATGAAAAATATGAACCCCCGATATTTTCTCCCTCGTAGGTAATAAAAAGCTTTATTATTAAAACAGAATATTATATTCGTTCCCATGTCATACTATGTTTAAATACTCGTCACACTCGGGAAATACCAACATTTAGGCATGAGTGTCGTAAACATAGTATGATATGGGCACGAATATAATATTCTGTTTATTACCAAAGTCGTCAAAATGAGAAAAATACACTCAAATCTACTTTCAAACATGGGCTAGCAGCTACCTGCCGTCGCCTGTGTAGAACGCAACGTCATAGAAGAACGTGACGTCATAGTATTGTTCATGACGTCACGTCAGCTTGACAAAGTGATATTTTGCCCTAGTGCATCGTATGAAAAATATGAACCCCGATATTTTCGCCCTCGCCCTTTTTGGCCGATATTTTGGCATTTGCTCTTACAGCAAGCTACACTTGGTGACCAAGATTTATAATATGTTCGCAATTGTTCCAAACAGACGTATATTGTTGGTCGTGATATTTGACATTGATCTTGCCTTGACTCGTAATGGGGCGTATCCCAATTGTGTAGATCATGTTGTTGATCACTGGATTGTCTGGTCCAGACTCGATAAGGTAACTGTCACTGGCAGTAAATAACAAACCCTTGTAAACTGTGTGACTGTGTCCAATCTGCCAGAATCATGTTTCAGAGTTACCTCCCTTGGTTCAGCTACTTACTGAATGTCTCCTTGTAAACATACACCCTAAAAACCTAAGCATTGAATACATTGAAATGTCAGAAAGTAAAAAGATATTTTGCAAACAAATGGATTTTTATCAAGTTTATTCAAACAAATCGTTTAAAAAGATAAAATATATCCATCAAATTATATCATTGCTTGGCAAGTTGAAAGAAAACACATTCTACACATGGCAGCTATGGTGAGATATCAGACACACTCTTACTGTGAAACACAGTGTTTAGAGTGTGACGTCATTAGCCACTGATAGCTGCGTTGTGTAGACAATAGTTCCCTGACAACTCATGACATAAAGTCAAACATTGTTACAAAACATAGGAAAAAAATCTTCCATAATGAAACGTAAATATGAAAATTTTTAACAGTAATTCTACAAAATTACTGGAACACAATCTACAGAGAAAATATCATTAAATTTTTAAGACTCATATATCAACAAAGTCTTAACATACACATACGTTTGAATGTTGGAAATTAGTATATATAGGTACTTCCAAAACCGGTAGCACTACAAGCACATTATATCACTATATTTCTGTATTTTCTGTAAGAATATGATCAAAATATACCAATCTGAATGTATTTTACATAAAAATATATTGTAGATATCAAATTCATTTTTAAAGTTTATTCCAAATTATGCAGTGCTGGAACATGAAACAGTGTAGCTCCACAGCAAGAGACAGAACATGTAGAGGTAGTATGTGTGTTGACAGAATCTAGGGGTAGGGAGATCCAGAGCTGGGCGTGGCATCCTGTGGGGTAGGGCTGGCCTGCTCTGGGGTGGTTAACCTCATCCTCCTCCCCCATACTCAGCCTTGGGGTGGTTTGGTTGGGCTTCTACCACTGGACCATAGCCATCTGAAATTGGTTAGTACAGTTGTAGCAATACCACACAGTGAGTGAGTTGAGTTTTACGCCGCACTCAGCAATATTCCAGCTAGATGGCGGCGGTACCACACAGTGACTAGAATGGGCTTCACCACTTGTACTAATGACAATACCCTGTGAAACAGAAACACATAGGATTTTAAATACCAACATAAAAAGACTTCTTTTCAGTTTTGGATCAGTAGTCAGTGGGCATGCTTCCATGGCAAGGGGATTAACCCACTGAAAATCTGTTCACAGTGGAGGAGCTCCATCGCCCAGACCTACTGACTTTGTGCATTACGATGCAGTATAAATAGTGTGAGTTTACGTTTACACTGCTTCCAGCAATATCACAGCAATATCACAGCAGGGGACACCAAAAATGGGCCTCACATACCCATACATGTGTACCCATGTGGGGTTTCAAACCCGGGTCTTTGGCATGACAAGCGAATGCTTTAACCACTAGGCTCCCCCACTGCCCTGCAGTTTAAGTCATGGGAGCAGACTTACTCTGTGCCTTACTGCTGCCTTTGCTCATCACACACTCTCTCTCCCTGATGCCCTTGACCTTGACCCCTCCCCTGAGTTTGGCTTGCTGCATGCTTTCTGAATCTTTTCAGCAACATAGCTGCAAGCTGCCAACACAGAAACAACAATATTATCAAACTTATTTCATCATGTTTATAAATATAGGTTATTTTTTCATGTTTACTTGATTTTCCCTCAAGTGTCACAAAAACAAAACAAGGCATTATGGTCACGTGACTTGATGTTGACAAGCTGGACGCTGTGCTCGTCAATTTCTTTCCAACTAAGGTATTTAGACTCGGCACACAAGTCATATTTCCTGACCCAAAGCAGTATTATATGTTGAAGAACGCTTACATGTGTATACCAACGGAACTTTGGAAAGTCAGAATAGGTTCGTTTAGTCCCAAGCTGAGAACGCATGGCGCTAGGCTCCACGCTATAATGCTACCCTTCGGAACAATATGGGTGGGTGCGAGACTGTCACTATTAACATTTACACTGTTGTTGCTGGCGGGGGATGTAGAACCCCACCCAGGTCCCGGGAACACGCTACAGACGTTCAACTAAACCTGACACTGTACAGACCCGTCTCTCAACTAGGAATATCACCAGGGAATTCCTAACCGAAAATATCGATGACACTAACCCCTAGATATTAGGCCCTTAAAGCTATACCAACACAGATTACTTCCCTTGAAAATAAACTCAATCGATTTGCCAGAGAGTATGACAAAAAGATTAAAGATCTACAAAATCAAAATTGCGATCTTAAAGAAAAGCTCAGTGATTTAGAAATGAAAACTGATAAATTTGAAGCCCAATCCCGGAGGAATAATCTCCATTTTCATGGATTACCAGGCAAAATTGGTGAGACATGGAATGAGACTGAATCAACTGTTAGACGTTTCCTGGGCGATAGACTAGAGATAGACGCATGTGATTTAATTCAAATTGAAAGGGCTCATCGTTTACGAACCAAATCATCCTCAAACGCTAGACCAGTTATCGTAAAGTTTACGTCATACAAGGACAAAGCAAATGTGTTAGACAAAGCGAGAGAAAAATTGAGGGAAGACAAACAGGTGAGGGTGTGCAAGGACTTCACACAGAGGGTCAGGTGGACGCGATCGCAGCTTTTCCCTTTCATGAAGGATGCTAGAGAGACTGACTGACTGAGTTTGGTTTTCGCCGCTTTTAGCAATATTCCAGCAACATCAAGGACACCAGAAATGGGCTTCATGCAGGATGCTAGAGAGAAGGGCATGGTATCATATCTGAGCTACGATAAACTGTTGATAGATGGGACTGTGTATGTTTATGATGAGACAGAAGATGATATTCGCCAGGTAGGTCAGCAGTGGAAACCACAACCACGAGTAAAAGAACCTCCCATATCAAGGAGGTGTTCCCAGACACAGGCACAACAACACATACAGGAACAGGAACAGGAACAAGAGCCGGGAACAGACACTGAGACGGAGACGCCTGACACTCCTAAATAGGAAGTGGTCGTGACCCCAATGAACACTTAACACAAGAACCAATTGAATTAACAAACATATGTGCGTGGAATATAAATGGATTTAAATCTAAAATCTTCGACAATGACTTTGTACAGTTTTGCAAACAATTTGAATTTTTTCCTTTACAGAAACATGGTGTACTGACTTTGAAGCGGATTTAGGTACCCGCCTTTATTGATTATGTGTCTTATACCAGCAATGCAACAAGAAATAAGACATGTGGCAAGTACTCAGGTGGAATGTCTGTATCTATTCGACAGAAATTTGCTAAATAGTTTGAAAGAATTCATTCTGAATGGTCAAATTCGATATTCTTTTATGCGAAAACAAACCAAACTGTGCATAAGCTGGTTGTTGGATTTATCTACATCCACCCCAAAGGTTCGCCTGAATATGAGGATTCAGAGGATTCTGGGACTGAGCTACTCAAAAATAAATTACTGCAAATATTAGCTGAATTTGGTGAAAATTTCACATTTATTCTGTGTGGTGATTTGAACTCAAGAACTGGTGAGTTTTTTGGATTACATTATGGATGATGACAGTACTTATTTACAAATACATGAGCATAGTGTGGATAGTTTTGATGTTGTACGAGTCAATTGTGACAATGAAACAAATAGATATGGGAGACAGCTACTCGACTTATGTAAACATCTTGAAGTACATATCGTCAATGGGAGAACCAAGGGAGATAATCCGAACAACTTTACCTTTATTGCACGACAAGGTGCAAGGGTGATTGATTATTTCCTGGTGTCCAGCAAATTATTTCACACAATAACAAACTTCAGTGTATACCCAAACACACTGTCTGACCATCTGCCAATTGTGTGTTCCTTTTATAACTTGTTTCGTGAAGATAACAAGAAACTGTTGACAATAACAACTGAAACTTAGCCATATACCGAGGATTAGAATTTTGAATGAAAAAGCAGTTTTAGTACAATGTTTGACACAAAATCCTTTTCATACCATTGTAAACGAATTTGTGACAACTTTAGATATAGACATCAATCTAGCAGCTGCAAAACTAAATGACATGATCTTATTTTGTGCATCCAATGTGGGGAAAATATCTTTTGGTCAACGGAAGTACCGTGATCAACCAGCTTGGTTTGACCAACAATGTGAAAATCTAAAGACACAGAAAAACAGAGCATTACACCAAATAAGGAACTTTGCATGCGACGAAAATAGACTTAAATACGTTGAAGCTAAATCAAATTTCAAAGGAAGTGTTGTAAAATCAAGAAAATTAATTTTGATAAAAAAGTAGCATGTGACATCTCTGACGCAGCAAATGGAACTCATTGTAAATCATTTTAGACAAAATTGAAATATGCCCTTAGTACAAAATCTAAGAACTCAGCAGTTTCATCTGATGTTTGGCTGACATATTTTAAAGATCTCTTAAATCCGGAACTTTATGATACCTGTGAATTTGGAGAGACTGTTTCAAATTTCATAAAGACTCATACCTGTGACAACTGTATAAACTTTCCCTCTACCGACCAACTATTATCTGGTGTTATATCAGATAAGGAAATATCTGAGGCTATAGCAAATCTCAAACAAGGAAAAAGTCCAGGTGAAGATGGAATTCCTAATGAAATTTTTAAGATGTCACAACCATATTTTACCCCATATCTTAACATGTTCTTTAATAAAAAAATTAATTTAGGTATATTTCCTGAAAACTTTAATATTGGAATGATTATACCGTTATTTAAATCTGGAAATGCAGCAGACACTTGTAATTATAGAAGTATATCGCTTCTCAATGTAACTGGAAAACTGTTCACTACCATTCTGGAGAAGAGACTACGCATCTGGATGGAAGTAAATCAACTTACAGGGTGGCTTCAGACACGATTAAATTCGACTATGGACAACATTTTTATCTTGCAAGATGTAGCCACAAAGTACTTATGTAAACCCAAAGGTCGATTTTACGCTTCATTCATCGATTTTAAGAAGGCTTTTGACTATGTTGATCGTAAAAAACTGTTATACTTGTTATTGCAAAGAGGTTGTCATGGGAAAATGTATCATATACTCAAAAGTATGTTTAGTTAAAGGGTGTGTCAAAACTTAATTCTTGTAAAACCAATTTGTGCCAAACATCCACTGGTGTTAGGCAGGGCTGTATGGTAAGCCCCATACCATTCATATTTTTTATAAATGACTGACTGACTGAGTTTAGTTTTACGCCGCTTTTAGCAATATTCCAGCAATATCACGGCGGGGGACACCAGAAATGGGCTTAACACATTGTGCCCATGTGGGGAATCGAACCCGGATCCTCGGCGTGACGAGCCAACGCTTTAACCACTAGGCTACCCTACCGCCCCTTTTATAAATGAACTTGCAACTGAAATTTATGAAAATTGTCAACATGGTGTTTTTATATCACAAGATATTGAAGATTTGATGTTGTTATTATTTGCCGACGATATAGTATTATTTGCTAATAATGTTGTAAATTTACAGAGGCAGCATAATGTTTTAGAAATCTTTTGCTCTAAGTGGGGTTTTCAGATAAATCTACAGAAATCTGATGTAGTAGTCTTTAGGAATGGAGGTATTTTAAATTGTTTTGAGAAATGGTACTATTGTGGTAAACTCCTTAAAACTGTCTCCTGCTATAAATACTTAGGTATAATCTTTTCTTCTAGGCTTATTTGGACGAAAGCCTGTGAAAGTCTAGCTGCACAAGCAATGAAAGCTTGTATTCCTGTGTATAAACTATTCAATAGAAATCATTTTCTGTCTTTTACTACTGTTTCTAAAAAAATTTACAGTAAAATTGCCCCGATTCTTTTATATGGCTCCAAAATTTGGTGTATTGAAAAGTTCAGGCTTCATACTTTAAATATTTTCTAGGTGTTGGCAAACATGCCTCAAATATTGCTATCTTAGGTGAAACTGGTCGGCATATGGACGGTATATGTTTGTTCAAAACAGGAAACGAGCTGTTGAATATTGGATAAAACTGATACATATGGATAGCTTTAGATACCCTGCACAATGTTATTTTTTGCTCAAGAGATTAGATGAAGAAGGTAAACAGAACTGGGTAACAGGTATTAAAAATGTTTTGTTTTCATGGTTTCTCATATATATGGAATTATCAAAGACTGGTTTTCTAAATTGTCATCATCAAAATACTTAGAGCATTACTCAAATGTGAAATCTTTACTTAACGTTGAACGATATATTACATTTTTAGAAGATAAATCGTTTACATGTGCTTTTTGTAAATTAAGAATAAATTTGCACAATTTCAAAGTTAATATGTTATGGAAAAAAAAGAGTAGATTTTCAAAATAGCAACTCAAAGATGTATTCCATGGCCAGTTAACTTTGCCAAATATACTAAATTGCAAAAATGAACCTGTTATTAAAATCACTTCTATTTATATAAAAAAAACTGTTTATGTCAAGAAATCCTGACTAAAACCTTATTCTTAAAATTCATTGTAACATAGGCCACATGGCCTACATTACCAAATAAAGTCTGTCTGTATAACAAGGCATTAAATTGTTAGGCCAAGGAAAATGATTTGTATTCATGACTAGTACTGTTATCAAAGGCCAAATACATACCCTATTACAGTGACAATATCTAGGTTTACAAAACAACAGCAACATAATAAAAGTGAAAAATAGGACTATAGCTAAAATTGCAACTCAGCAAAATCTCACCAAGTGACAATGACACTGATTAGCAAACATGAAACCTTGCCCAAAGCAGCTAATGCGGTGAAACATAAAACCTAGCATTTTATTTTCACTTTGGACTTAAAAACAAGAAATGAAACAAACTCACATATTTACACACAAACAAAAATACCTGAAATTCTGATTGACATAAAAATGTTTACATTGATATATTACCGGTACCATCTGCTCCACATGACCTGCTGACTCAGCACTTGAATGCTTGAATAATTGAATTTTGAAAATATCATCTACTTAATATTTTAAAACCTTACCTACATTTCAGGTATTTAGGAAGCAGGACAGGGTGCTTTCTGATAATTCTTTCATAATGTATTGATCTGTGAGGAGAGGTGAAATTGGGTTTAACGTTGTGCTTGAGAATTCTTCGCTCATATGACGACGTGCATGCGTGTGTATGTGCGGCTGCTTGTACTAGCCCAGACTTAAGCTGGTTTTATAGTGCTAGCTCACTGAGATACCATGCCTCAGTGAAGCATGAATACCCCACTCAGACACAGTATACTGACTCCGAGCCGACCAGTCCTTGTTGTACCCAATAATGCCGAGAGCCAGGCAGGGACCAACAAGTACCATATTTTAACGTCTTTTGGTATGACGCGGTCGGGGATCTAACCCGCGACCTTCCGCTTTCCGGGCGGACGCTCTAACCACTACACCATGGAGGCGGTCGTATTGATCTGTAGTTAGCCACAAGAGAGTCAGTTGCCATGCCATGAATGCAATGAAGGACACATTGTGTTTGTTTTACTGGTTTGGTTTGGTTGGTGTTGAACGCCCCACTCAGCAATATTCCAGCTATATGGCGGCAAGCTTGACCACCCGATCCCATTAGTTCCCTCTTATGACAAACATGGGTTGCTGAAGACCAATTCTAACCCACATCTTCACAGGTATTATATTACAGCTGAAGGGCACAGGTACTACAGATATGTAGCCTCACTTATCAAACAAGTCAATTTTGCACTGCGTCGTTTTCTTGATCAGAACAATTATTATTATTGTGGTAACAGTTGTATTAGATGAATTTGATTGTGTTATATAAGAAACGACCATACACAGTAATGAATATTTTCCGGTGCACAATACCACACGAAACCAGTTGAAAGGGAACAACATACAATAACCATAGAGACATTTGCTGGAATGAAGATTTCCTCTTCCATTGTTCCATGTGCTACACGATAATACTGAATAATTTTGGTATCAGCTTTAGACGAAGACCATAACACGTAACCATCATAAATTTAGCAATTATAAAGTATTTACAATAAAAATCAGGAAAGAAAAAATAATTCTCTGTAATTTTGTAAGTTTGTATTTAATATGATCTGCATTCAATTTTCAACATTAGCATGATCATAAATTTTAAGACTGCCTCTGATTTCTTGGCTAATGATAAAACATTGATCAATAGATGATTATGACAAGGGTGAGTGGTGACAAACATGGAGTCAGTGGTACCAGTAATACATCATAAATACTACAACATGAACCATTATTATTTATATTATAAAATAATTTATATAAAGTGTTGTTCATGCTTGAAGTCTGAACTCCATTAGCTGTTTCCACAAAAACAGTACCATTTTTGCCAGATGCAATTTATGATGTTTTGCTGAGTTGCTGTTTTAGTCTGCTCTAATCAGAGACCATATAATAGATTATTATAGGGTCTCTGCTCTAATATACACATGGCCCTTGAATGAATCATGAATTTGGTATAGAAGATAGATTTTTTATAACAAAACATCACATTAGACAGTAGTGGATAAACCCTGGAATAATATAACACACAAATTCGTTTATTACCTCTTCTACCAATGTTAATTATTACGTCGATATGGGTGGCATGAACACAATTTTGTCTGTTAGGAATTTCCGAATAATTAATCGATTTATCACCACTATTTTAACAATGCGTAGTCTGCTTGCTCCACCAAAATACTGCCATTGACCATTCAATATTGGAATATATCGTCCAATTGGGCTGTAGTCATTGTTATAAAACGTAGAGTATCTGACATTTTGTTACACAACGTAAATAATTGTTGATTCTCAATGACACAGAAGTTGCTATGCAGAATGAGGGCTTTAACTGATCTTAACTGACAGCAACGAGTTCCTCACCTTTAATTATCAATCATACCATCCTGTAAATTTAGTAACACTGCGCTGGACGCTCGTGTTCGAGATAACTTGTGTAAAGGTTCAGAATTTCTCACACTGTTTACCTTTCTGACATTAGCGATGACGCCGTGTCACGTGATACACGAGGGTCACGTGCTAAGCGGAAGTGCCCTTGTAAACAACCTGTCAAGTTCATGTGGTCGTTCGTCTGTCAAATACCGTCAGCAGCACGCGGGGATACTTGACGTGACTGCGATGACAACCCTTCATTAGCCGTAAGTCGCTTTTATTACAAAGTTATTATGCTATATTTATTTTTCAAAGATTGTACACCTCAAATAGTATACGAGGGTGTTTTCGGATTTTCATGACGAAGTTTGATAAGCTCAACCTGGTATATATAGACCTATTATTGATTTATTGTAATTTCCAGTTCCATTCAGAATAATATTTTACCTATATTCCTCTCAAGCATTTTGACCCAAAAATATAACTCTTAGTTGAACTGAAGCGTAACAAACCGACGTATTGATTTCATGATTTCATTATCTTCGATTATCCTTAAAGTTAAACAGTACCAGTTTTCCCCTTAAAATTATGTCTTAGTTACGTGAGTGAAAGATTCAGGTATGAAACTTATTTTATTTGTGTAATAACACAAAACAGCTGAACTGCTAAATATTTGTTACGTGGAATAATGCTGCTGAGTTTTAAAATATATTGAATATATCCACAACCGAGAGCACCTGTGCAAAATACGAAATAGAATATCTATATTTTTTGTCAACATCAAGAATGCCTCATACAGAAATTATTGATCAGCTGCTATCTGGTTTCAATAGTTTAAATGTCCACATGTAACAACTGGCAATAGAGTGAGTGGCAATAACAGACCTGTTAAATACACTGTGTTTGGGTAGCCGAATAGATCAGGTGTTTCCTTGTCAAGTCAGCAAGTAAGGTTCTATTTCTATATGGGTAAATGTCTTCAGTCCACACTGGTTGTGACAGTGCTGCTGTTGGGTTGGTTGATCTTGGGCCCAGACGGGCTGGGGAGGCTGGGGATATGGGTGGCCCAGTGGTCTAAGGTGTCCCTTGTTCACATCAGGAACCTATGATCAAGCATGGGATTGAATGCCTGATTGACCCGATGGTGTTTCTGGATTTGACACTGAAGGGCAGTGACATTAAAGCTTAAGTTTTTTGATTATTTACTGAATTTAAGTTTTACTTGGCAAAAGATCACTGCTGCAAGGCTGTTAAAACAACAGAAACTAAACAGAAGGTCGCAGTTTGTTTTCTTATGAGATGACTTTTATGTTTGGATTTTGATTGCTTACAATAATGAGCATTTCAAGAAAGTATTTTACAGCATTTTGGATTGTCAGTAAGACCTTTGAGGACTATTCCATTATTTTAGAATAAACTTGTGTATTCAAATCCATAGTAAAGTAAGGCCTAATTATCATTTATGGAGTGTACTATCTGGTTGTGCCATGTCATTATTTGCAATAGATATTAAGTAGATAGATGTTAATTTTTCATATATTTTAAGCTTAAGCTATTTTATAAGATTTCATTTCATTTGTTATGATTTAGTCCGATATGTGATTATTGTATTTGATTCACTGAATACTGTCCATGTGTGATGTTCCATGTATTGCAGTGTATTCTCGATGAAATCCATAAAGATCCGGTCAGCATTGGCTTCACTAACCCATGCTTGTCGTAAGAGGCGAGGGATCGGGTGGTCAGGATCGCTGGCTTAGTTGACACATGTCATCATATCCCATTTGCATAGATCGATACTCAGGCTGTTGATCACTTGATCGCCTGGTTCAGACAGTTATTTACAGGCCATGGTCATATACCAGGAATACTTCTCAGTGCGGTGTTATTAACTGTTAAACAACAAACAAACAAAATCTTATGAAGTGTAATTTCTTTAAGACAAGGAAGTGGGCGTGTCCCTGCTGGGAATATGTATGAAGTGACCCTGCTGTGAAATATGCTGGTGTGTTTATGTCCTGTATATGTTCGTATGGTTCGTCACAGTGCACCCCACACACAATGCACCTGCTGCTTGTTCATTTGTTTTCTGAAAGCTATCTGCAGAAAAAATATATCAAAGGTATCTTTGAACATCAAAATATGGTCATTATTTAAGTAATCAAAAGATGTTTCAAGTGAATTTCAATGTCATTTTATAGCTATTAGATGATTTTGATAAGAATGATGGCACCTCTTTCTTTTACTGTAATTATATGTCTACTATCTGATTACCAAGGTAAGAAGTTAATTAAATCTTTAGTTATTATATTCAATGGTTGGTTTGATAATATTTTCCTTTAGCATTTACACCATCAAGATACAAAAGTTATCATGTCAGCTTAGGGGTGGTGATGTAGCCTAGTGGTTAAAGCGTTCACTCGTTGCTCATCACGCTGAAGACCCAGGGGTTCGATTCCCCACATGGGTACAATGTATGAAGCCCATTTTGGGTGTCCCCTCCCCCCTCCCTGTGATATTGCTGGAATATTGCTAAAAGTGACAGAAAAATATAATTAATCACTCAGTTTAACAGTTATCATCATATGCAGTGACATAGCCTAGTGGTGGAAATAACCCATTCATCACGTCCGAAGACCAGGGTTGAATCCCACATGGGTACAATGTGTATATCCCATTTCTGGTGTCCAGTTGACTTTCCAATGTTAATTATGTTGTTTATTTAAATATTGCAAGAAAACAGCGGTATAGTGGGAAAAACCAAACTCAGTGCCAGTAAGTCACTTATCAGTCATATCCATCCCTGATATCAGATAACTGGGTCTCAGTGTTGTATCAAGCATCAGATGACATAGGGTCAAGGGTTGATATGGGGTATGATATGAAAACTGCTATATGATAATATTGTATATCATAACATGAGATTGTGAAATGTATCTATTTACAAGTGAATGCAGTACATTTTCACCTGATTGGAAGACATTGTCACTGGAAAGCACTCAGAGTGCTTAATGCACTGACAGACATATGTAACTCCAGTCTCTCACCACTGATATTGATTGCCCATTCAAAATGCAATAACAAGACATATCATCCCAGCAGTGCTGCAATATGAGTCTGGTTATTACATCCCCTGAGTTATGACCATGTCTATGTTGGCTCTATCACACATGCAAACTGCCGTTTACTATTGATAGGTGTGTGATAAATGTTGATACTACATGAAACTACATGTTCTCAGACAAGTATATCATATTGGTAAGTGTTGCCACATGTGTTACCAGGATCAACCATATGCTGCAAATATTTATGATGGTATGATAATTCAACTGCCATTTGAATTTTTATGGCTGAATTTTTATGTATGTATTTCTGTCATTTTCCTCAGTCCAAAATGTATTTGGAAAAAAAAATTCAATAGAGTTTGTGTAGAATAATAATTCACAGATGACTGTCATTGGTAATTGGCGACAAACGGGATCAGGTGGTCAGGCTCCTGACTTGGTTGACACATGTCATGATATCCCAATTGCTTTGTACGATGTTCATGCTGTTGATCACTGGATTGTCTAGTCCAGACTCGATTTAGTTGTTTTTTTTGCTGGAATATTGCTGAGTGTGGCGTTAATTTACAACAAACCAACCAACCAATCATGTACCGGTATATGCCAAAGATAATGGTGGTCCACAACGTCAAAAGTTTATCCTCAGACACAGTAGGAACCTACGTAACTGTGGGTCCAAATCCCTGTTCACCTTGATTATGTTTCTGTGTTTGGAGGTGAGATGAGGTGAAATTGGGTTTTACGTCGTGCTTGAGAATATTTCGCTCATATGACGACCTGCATGCATGCATGTGTATGTGTATGTGTGGCTGCTTGTACTAGCCCAGACTGAAGCTGGTTTTATAGTGCTAGCCCACTGAGATACCACACCGCAGTGAAGCATGAATACCCCACTCAGACACATTATACGGACTCCGAGCCGACCAGTCCTTGTTGTACCCATTAATGCCGAGAGCTAGGCAGGGACCAACAAGTACCATATTTTAATGTCTTTTGGTATGACGTGGTCGGGGATCGAACCCGCGACCTTCCTCTCTCCGGGCGGACGCTCTAACCACTACACCACTGAGTGTGTTTGTAGGAGCAATGGGGAAGCCTAGTGGTTAAAGTCTTGGCTTGCCACCCCGAAGACCCGGGTTCGATTTCCCACATGGGCACAATGGGCACAACCCATTTCTGGTGTCACATGTCATGATATTGTTGGAATATTGCTAAAAGCTGCATAAGAACCCTACTGACTGTAAACATCTAAGACATATATCATTTCCTGCTTTCTCCACCCCACAAATCAACTTGCCAACATGTAATCTGTTTGATTGGCATTCTGGAAATGGGCGGATAATGCAAAAAGCAAAATGATTTATGGATGACAATTCCACAATTCTGTTATTATGAAGAGTTTCAGATCCTTGTCCAGTTTTCCTGGACACCAGAATAAGGATCAATACTTGATTTTCTATAACTGGAACTCAGTTCAAGCAATGTTAAACCATCTCACTTATTAATTCAACTACTTTGGTCACTGTGTTGCATTTATTTCAGGCTTCCTGACTTGGTTAACACATGTCATCGTATCCCAACTGCGTAGATCGATGCTCATGATATTGATCACTGGATTTTCTCGTCCATACTCGATTATTTACAGGCCGCCACCATATAACTGGAATATTGCTAAGTGTGGTGTTAAACAACAAACAAACAAAAGCATTTATTTCCATTGTTTTTCAATTTTCATGTCTATTTGCATACAAAGAAGAACTGGGTACTAATATTTTTGACTTTTTTATGCACAAATGTAGTTTTTCTTGAAGCCTGTTGTTACCTAGATACTTGGGGGAGCATAACCTCTAGTTTAGATCACATAGTTGTTTTTGGGTGATGATATCTACTATGGTTGGGAATTGCCAAAATTTTCGTATTTGCGATATATTGTGATATGTTTTGGCATATTGCAATATGTATTGCAACATATTGTGAAAGTGTAACACATGGTTTAAGGCAATGCCATTTGGTTTATTTATCTCTTCAACGAGTGCCAGTATCAATTCTATTTTGTTTTATTTATATAGTTTAAAAGTCATGCAAATGCAACTATATGACCAATAAAAATTCTCAAAACTATTAATGTATAATAATATACAGGAAATACAAATGTTATTAGTATTTTTTACTACATCACAAAAATTATCGATCATGGAAAT